ACAGGGCAAGAGGAGGAGGAGACTAGGAGAGATATATAGAGGAATTGCCCCCTAGGCACTCTTCAATGTTGCCCTTATGATGGGAGCATATTTCCCCTGTGCTGTGGCCATCATCTCCCACTCTTTCTCTCACACATTTGCTCTCACACTCTCTCTGTCTCTCACTCCATCGTTTCCAATCTGTCTTTCATGCTGCATTTCTACCACATGTCCCTCAGCCTCGCTCTTCGCTGCTCCTTATAGACATCTCAAGGTAAAAGTCAATTCTTAGCCAACATCACCAACACCTATTTATGTCCCTTTTATCCAGAATGTGTGTGCATGGGAGGTAGCAGGTGCAGCGTACCCATCTGCACCACCATTGTTGTATATAAGCTCCTGCCAATTCCCACCTGAGAATGTGCATCTATAAAACATCTTCTTCCAAAAACGATATGAAAGCATGTGCCAGTAGGTGTTTTTCTAACTCTTAGCCATTATCTTTTCTTCTCTTCTTCTTTATTTATTTCCGCTTATTCCACACAAGCCTTTTTCTCTGTATGAACAGGGCTGACAAGCTGCAGCCACATTGTCCTCTTCCACGGATCGCCCTTGAAAGGTTCCATCTTTCCAATTGTTGATTCTCTCTGGTGTGTGTGTGTGTGTGTGTGTGTGTGTGTGTGTGTGTGTGTGTGTGTGTGTGTGTGTGTGTGTGTGTGTGTGTGTGTGTGTGTGTGTGTGTGTGTGTGTGTGTGTGTGTGTGTGTGTGTGTGTGTGGTGTGTGTGTGTGTGTGTGTGTGAGACAGTGTGTGTGTGTGTGTGTGTGTGTGTGTGTGTGTGTGTGTGTGTGTGTGTGTGTGTGTGTGTGTGTGTGCATAGGAGAGAAGGCAGTGGGAAAAAACAGAGAAAATAGATCATTCATGGCTAAAAGCTGAGAAGAGAAAATCAGTCCTTCCACCAGTTTCCCAGCATGCATGTTTCTCTGGCTGGCAGCACAGAGGGAAGTGCAGCCAACACAGAGCAGAGCCAATCCTCTATTATTTCCATACCCATTTTTATACTATTGTCTATCATTCTCCCCATTATGGGTGTGCATCATTGAAGTCTACTGTACAGGCACATAGGGACTGTTACCAGACTAATGAAAATGTTCCCATTGTTTGAGTACAATTCTATAAGGGCTCTATTCAGTTCAACTTCTCGTCTTCTTAAATGAGTCGACATATCTCGCTCTGACCACACTGTGGCTTCGTTCATTGTATCTGCAGTCGTTCATTGTATCTGCAGTCGTTCATTGTATCTGCAGTCAAACTTGCAGCTTTACCCCATTTCAATCAGAGCCAAGACTGCGGCTGCCTTGTCCAAATGACTGTCTCTCTCTATTGTCTCCCACATCGGTAGTTGATTTTACCAGCTATTCTTTCTATATAGTCTTATTCATAAGTCAAATGTCATTGTTTTGTTATCATAGTGAAGCACATCAGTCTGTTTTAGATGACCAGACGTTTGGGCATCTTATTCTTATCTTAGTCAAAGAAACTATTGAAGTCTAGTTAGAAAAAACTTCGGGCATTTTAGTTTTTAGTTGTTGGATTATAGTCAATCTATTGTAGCCAAAATATCCCCTTGTTTATTTTGACCAAGCCCTGTTCTTGTCATTTTCAAATTTACGTTGAGTTACTGTAAAGTTATTTTTGTTTTTGAAAAGCTACAGTTTGTATTGTTATTGTCACAGTTATTGTCCTATGATGTCACTATTATCTTCTCACCCTCGTATCTTAGTCATAGGGAAAAAAAGGTAATTGAAAAGCATATTTAACATTTTCAAAATGGTAGCAAATTCAAACTGTATTTTAGATTATAGATAATGACATTGAATGTAACATAAAGGAAAAGTGTTTCTATGCCAGGATTACTTAATGCCTTATACAGTAAAAAATGGGTTGGCCCATTTCCAGACTTTAAGCAAAGCTAAGCTAACTGGCTGCTGGCAGTAGCCTCACATTAACCATGTGGCATCAAATTTCAAGTCAAAAGGCATGTTTTCCAATATGTTGAACTATTCCTTTAAAGCCATTTATGGTCAAATAGGTATGACATTACAAACTATAAGTTCTAAATTAGTTCACATTAGATATTGTATTCTCTGTTGGTGGCATCTTTCACTTCCAATAATATCATGGTGTACTCCGAACTCCATGAGAAGCTCCCTTCCCTCCAGACAGACCAACATTTCCTTAAATGAGGACGATAAATACCCAAATGCATTTGTCATTTCTGGAATTCCAGCTTTAACATTTTACAGTAGGATTAACACTGATGTGAAACATCTTTTGACCCACAACTCTCAGACTCAGCTGTTAGGAAAGTGGGTCAGAGCAGCTGGTATGATCGCATGAATATTTAAAATGAAGCAGCTCCAGACTGAAGCCTGTGCAACAATCACATTGATGCCAAGCCGTGTTAAACAATGACAGCATGTTGTACAGCTCCAACTCCCTGCTGAGCAGCTGCAGAATATTTCTGCCTACACAGAGAGAAAGAGGGGGGGGGGCTGTCAAACAGGAATTGAAATGTATAGAGAAAACCAAAAGATTGTTGACGGCAAACATTCATCCCCCTTCCATATTAGAAGAGATACCTGAAAACATGCAAAAAACTACACAAAAGCACTTATTTGTTGTTCAAATTGTGTGTACATAATACTACAAAACTTCAATAATCTAAGAAAAATGGATGAAGCGAGAACACCGATGGATGACAGATAGATCAGTAGAGGCCAAAAGATGAGCAATGGAAACAAACTTTGCAATTAACTCAAGTGAGAAGTGCTGACAGCCAGCCAGAAGGACTGACAGGTTCAGAAAATAACGGAAAAAGAAAGAAAGGAGGAGAGCGTGGGGAGGGAGCGCCGTGACTGGAGGATGGATAGAAGTAGGTCAGGAGGAGAGACTGAGGAGAGGGAGACATGTGGCGGGATGGATAGAGGGAAGGTAATAAAGGAAAGAGACAGCCAACGCTGCGTCTATCTTTCCTGTCTGCACATGGGTGTCTTTCTTTAATGTGTGTGAGCGTAACTCCACATTCAGGCATGTGCGTTCATGCCACTGTGAGTCACAGCTCTTAGCCAGCAGCCTGCTCCAAAGCCAAAGACTTCATAATAAACAGAAAAAGGTTTAATTTACTCCTTCAGGCAGAGCTGCTCACTTTTCTGTCTATCATAAGCAGGGCCACACACACAGACACACACACGCACACACACACACACACACACACACACACACACACACACACACACACACACACACACACACACACACACACACACACAACACACACACACACACACACACACACACACACACACACACACACACACACATATATGCAATACTGGGATGCTGACTTGGAAAGGCCCGTTGTCACGGCTACACCAATGACACGGCTGGATGTGGGTGAGCTTCCTGGGTGGCGGCTCTCATTCAGCCAATCGAGGCTAACACGCCACACTCCATTTAATGATTATCCCAGCATCTGTCCCCTATCTCTCATCTCTGTGAGCAGGCCGACAAACACAAGGCTCAGTGAATCCCATCCAGCCGAGCGGCTTCATTCAGCTTTTCGTTGAGTAATATCAGCTCAGTTTAATCCAATCTAGAAATGCTTGTGTGCATTACAAACAGGCCGTGCGCCCTTGATTCATTATATAGTTAGAGGAGAACATGGGTAATAGAGGATGAGCAGCAATTAATGCCAGTCCAATAAAATAAATGATTACCACATTTGGAAGGTAATCTCAGTTGTTGTCCGTAGATTTCATGTTTTCATTCTGTTTACTTTAACTTACAGATACTCGAGTGTGTGTGGGCGATAAGGTTTACATTGTGCCACATTGTTGCTGCAGCTTGGTGTATCGACTTCATTTCCTGCACTCGTCCTCGGCTGCACTTTTGTTCTTTTGGAAGCAACGGCAAGGTCGGCTTGTGCCTGATCTCCTGGATACTGTGACTGGTTTCATGTTCAGCAGGTATTATAACAGGGAACTCGCTCAGTCATTGATAGCACGGAGGTTTTTGAGTTTGCTTGGACGCTTGCCGGCACTCTAACTTCCCGCATTAAGATGCAAGTGATCGATAAATGCACTGTTTTCCTCAGCTGTAAATCATGCAAGTGCTCTGAGCTCCTGTGCAGACATTGAGGAAGAAAAAAGAGACAACAAGAAGTTCTGGGGTGATTAATACAACAATAAACAAGTGTGAGGAGCGATGGGGGTGTTAAATGGGAGAGCGAGGCAGAAAATGAAGAAACACCTTGAGATAAAAAGAAATACTAATATTCTTGATTTATCAGCACCGCAGCCTTAGAGATGAGCGAGGAAAAGAAAGCTGCCTGTGGCCCATTATTATTGCGGCCTGCAGGATGAACGCAAACAATTGCACTGTTTGTCTTTGGTTGGGTAAAAAACAACAGCAACATCAATACAAATGGTAATCATGAGGAATCAGAAAAACATATTCTTTTCATTTTCAATTTAACAGGCCACTTGATAGATGCGAGAAAACTATCTTTGATATAAATCTGCAAGTCCCTTTCTTTCTGATGTGACTCATTTGTCAAGTCATACCTTTATCTCAGTCCACTGCTCCCCCCACCACTGTGTCTTAAACATATACGCTACAAATACTAATAACAAGTCATTTATACCTGTACGGACTCTCAACCATATATTTTAAGGTTGAGATCAATGTCCCTACAAGTTATAGCCCTTTCCTATGTGTCCATCATGTGTGCCTGTTAAAAATGCTAAGAGCAATTGAGTTAACGTAAAGGTAAGAGCTGAGATCAGAAACACCTACTAATCATCTCCCAGATACTCCTTGTAAGAAGACAGTACAATATTACTGATTGCAAGACTGAACCACTTGATTCAATTATTTGATAAGATTCATATTTTCTTCACGAATACAACTCCTGTCTCCCTGGCAACAAGACTTAATTTGTTCCTCTTTTTGTGCCTCCAGGTGAGACCGGTGCAGCCCTGTCACGCCCGCAGCGCCCCCTTTCGGCCCGGACGGCCCACCACGGCCCGGCGCCTGTGAAAGGGTACCATGTCAGCCGTAGCATGTCGCAGCATTCCTCCGGTGGGGGCGGACCCTGCCACTGCCCGCCTGAGGATGGTGAGGGCCCGGGCAGGGACTACTACCAGGGTCACAGCGATGGCCACTACTACCCTCCAGGCCAGGCTGAGGCCTTGGCGCTGGAGAGGCACCATTCCCACTCCCACGGCCACTCTGGAGGGGGAACCTTTCCACGTTCCCACCCCAGCCAGCACCCCGCCTCTCCAGTCGCTTGACTCTTGCGAAGAGTGCCTGTCTTCAGGTCATGGAGCGAAGATGCACCGCATTCCCCCCGAACATGATCGACCAGCAGGTGCCCTTTCATCCCGATGGCTTCCACACACTGCAGTACCAGCGCGCGTCCAGTGGGGGGGCTGAGCCGCGCAGCGAGAGCCCCTCACGCATCCGCCACCTGGTCAACTCTGTGCAGCGCCTCTTCGCAAAGTCCCAGTCCTTGGAGGCGCCGGCCAAACGGGAGTTCAACGGCACGAGAGGAGGCGGGGACTACCGTGGAGAGAGAGGAGAGAGAGGAGAGAGAGGAGGAGGCCACAGAAGTGGAGGGGAGGATGGCGGGGGTCACTATTCAGGTCACCAGCCTCGTTCTGCAAGGAGGAGCAAGTCTCGGGAGCGTAGCAAGAGTGGAGACTCCAGGCACGAGTCAGGCAGACGCCATCGCAGCAGGACGGCAGGCTGGTGGAGCTCTGACGACAACCTGGACAGCGACAGCAGCTACCTGGTCAGCGGGGGCCGGCGAGGGTATCCCAGCGGGCATGAGAGCCTGGATGCAGCCATCCAGGAGCTCACCATGAAGAGGCCCAAGGAGCGTGGTGGTGGTGGTGGTGGTGGTAGTGGTGGTGGTGGTGGTGGTGGTGGTGGTGGTGGTGGTTGGTGGTGGTGGTGATGGAGGGGGTGGGGGGTGGTGGTCCTGGACCTGCGGAGTGCATGGCTTGTACCACAATGGCTCTGGCTGGGAGTGAAGGAGGGGGGCACCACGGCCACCACGGCCACTCTCTGAAAAGAAGCACCTGGTCAGCCATGACAGTGAGTCAGGCCAGAGAGGTGTACCCCTCCACCAGGGGGGCGAGCTACGAGAAAGCCCTGGTGCCCTTGGAGAGTAAGCTGAAGGAGAGGAGCTTCCACTACCTGCAGGTGTGTACGCTTGCATGTTATCCAATTATGTGTCTGTGTACAGGGAATTAGTGTTTGCTGCTCCATGCTGACCTTTCTCATGTCTCATGCAGATTAACCTTTAGCTCTTGTTTGCATTTGCATGAACTATATTACACCTTCTTCTCTGAGTCATAACTCTGCATAGTTCTCTTTACAGTGATAGCTGTGTTTCCAACGTCAGTTGAGGATAATGTTCTAAAATCCATTTCAAAATGATGTTAAAAAGTGGTCTAACATCACACCTAATTTGGATTTTTTCTTCTGTTTCAAGATGCATCCTTATGATGGTCTCTATATTCATGATTAGAGCTCTAAAATTTGAAGGAACGAATGGCTAAAATGGTGCTTATGTGTTGCTACCTGACAACTTAACACTGTTTGCATTACTCAAAGAATTGACAAAAACTTGAAATGTTTTTATCCCAGAAGAAGAAAGAGTAAGAAAATAAATATACACCCAGTACAAGACATGACTCATATATTTCACCAGGAAAATAGCAGTGTTTCTGTCCCTGCGTTGTGATGTACAATTTCAAATGGTGAATAAAACCCTGAGATCACAAAAAAAAAGGATTTTAAGCCGGCTGAGGTAGAAAATGTGACAAATTGCAATGGAAACATCTTTAACAGTTACATTATGATGTATATGAATTTGGATGAAATTCGCAATACATTTCGATGAAAACTTGACTACATAAACTCTTTTATATCATATACATGTATTCAATGTTAACCCTCTTTTCATTCGACAATTATGAATTGTATATTTTTCCTAAAAAGTGTCAAGAAGATAAGATGTCAGACATGATCAGGAGTTGTATGTCAACCTGAGAGACCCCATGGACTTCTTTGGTGAATCATAAAAACATGGACCGTTATCATTTCTGATAGATTTTGAGATGTAAAGTATCTCCCTGTGATGGATCTCCAAATCCTACATATTGTCCCTTTGCCCTCTCTTTTTTCGTATACATGAATTCCTTAAAAATGAAAATCGCATGGCTGTTACATTGAACCCGCAAAAACAGCTGGAAGAACAACAGACACACACAAACACACACTCAGTAACATCTCCAGCTGTGCGGAGGTAGCGCTGCCATGCAGGCTGTGTTCGACGGAAACAGGCAGGTAGTCACAGGAGTCCCTGGTGTTTTTCCAACTCTCATCCTTGTGACACAGCTGAGGTCTGCTGATAGAAAAGAGAGAGAGAGGAGAGAGAGAGAGAGAGAGAGAGAGAGAGAGAGAGAGAGAAGAGAGAGAGAGAGAGAGAGGAGAGAGAGAGAGAAGAGAGGAGAGAGAGAGAGAGAGAGAGAGAGAGGAGAGAGAGAGAGAGAGAGAGAGTTTTCAAAAGGACGAACCCCACACAAATGTGCCTCTGTGCCTTAGGCTATAGCGTCATATTCACACCTCAGGACATGGAATGAAGTTCCACATTGCAGCTTTCCTCATATCTCCCGGCGTCACTTGCAGTTTTGCGAGGAACAGGTGGAGAGAGTTTGTGGAGTGAATTTAAGTGATGTGCTTGGATGTGCTCGAGTCAACCTGATTGATCCATGGCTTCAGAGCAGACAGCTTCCTGGAGCTGCAGAGATAGAGCTCTTCAGGTCTACTCCAGAAGTACTAGACCTCAGGACAAATGGTAGTGCAGGTGCCACAGTGAAGCATCAACTCCACACTGAAGCCTCGTTCTCTGGAAGCAAAATGTACAATGATTGCTGCCAGGCAAGTGCAGACAGATTGTGTAAAGAATAGACACCACATGTGCAACAACGGGTTTAAAGCGTCAATAAATATTGTCATTCAAACAGTGGATCACATTTCTACTTGGATATGAGGGGCGGCTGTGGCGCAGTGGATAGTGCCTTGATTTTCGGATCAGGGGGTCACAGGTTCAATCCCACTGCAGTCAGCATGTCGTTGTGTCCCTGAGACACTTCATCCCAAATTGCTCCTGTGGGGATTGCCCACAGTATTGAGTATGTAAGTCGCTTTGGATAAAAGCGTCTAACAAGTAACATGTAATATGAAATCACACACCCAGCTCTGCAGTTCCTCTTACCTTCACAGAGCTTTACAAATGTTTGCTACCCAGTGGAGCATTCAGCAGCTAAAGAGTAACATATTTCCCTCAGGTGTAGGTGGCAGCAAGATACAAAGCTTAAAGAAGAATAAATATTGGACTACTGGATTAGGTGGTCAGAAACAGGGCTCGAAATGAATGCTAATTTTCCTATTTCCAAAAGTTTAAAGTAAATATCCTTGTGGCAGAAGTTTGTTGGTTTGACGACCCTTAATTAGATCTTCCTTGTTTCCATCACAAAGAGCCGTGTTCACAAAGTCATGGATAGACTAGTCTTACAATATTGAGAAGGAGAGAACAGGGAAGACATTCTAATACCGTACAAATACAGTGCATTTTCAACTGCTCCTTAAAGTCAGAAATACACAAAAATAGCTTTCAAGGCGGGCACTTTGTGACACTAACATGCACATACAGGTCGACGCTGGGTCATCACTCAGGATTTCTGCAAAAAGATGAGGAAAAAGTGCGGCAGCTCAAAGTGAAAATTAAAGCAAAGGAACCGAATGACTGTGATCAGAGTCAAAGGGACATGTAACAGGCTTCCTCCCCCGTTGTCTACGCCAATCACAACGTGCCGCATCTGAACCCGGCGCTCTCCATTTCATAAGCCTCTCCTTTTCCCTGGGCCTGGGTCTGATAGATAAGCAATGATGCAAAAAAACAGAATATGGTGCGAGAGTGAAATGAAGACTGAAACAGCGAAGGAGTAGAGACACAAATATAGGCGAGAGAAGAGGGGGGTGAAAAGATAGAGGGACGTGGAGATAGCAAAGCAAGCTCAGGGATAGAGAGGAGATAAAGGAGGTGATGGTAGCCAGGGGGCGAGGCGAGAGGAGGAGAGACAGAGCAGGATGAGAAAATGAGAGAGATAGTAGAAGGCCAGGGGGATCAGGAGATTAGGCTGAATCATCTTTTAAGTGATGACCTTAAAAACACAGACTCAGCTGGATGCCAAACCCCGCGGGCCTTGACTGTGTGTGTGTGTGTGTGTTGTGTGTGTGTGTGTGTGTGTGTGTGTGTGTGTGTGTGTGTGTGTGTGTGTGTGTGTGTGTTGTGTGTGTGTGTGGTGTGTGTGTGTGTGTGTGTGTGTGCGTGCGTGCGTGCGTGCGTGCGTGCGTGGCGTGTGTGTGTGTGTGTATCAACTGGTGTAGGTGTTTTTATTTGGTTACATGCTTGTGTGAGACTGCGAAACTCAGCATTTGCAAACACTGGAATGTTGAAAGAGGTCTTTCTGCTGATATAGTACTTCCTGTTGTGATTACACACTTTTCCCTTTTAAATTGTAGTAAAATGCCTCTTTAATAATTAACAAAATGCCTTTTCAAAAATAAGAAACGTGTATGAAGAGGCTTTCAATACAAATAAAGCCTGTATGTGTTATAAAATAATACTAAAATATGCCTTGATGCAGGTTACCTAATGGAAAGGAGATTGAATTATTTGTTAAAGGTTTGATTAGTTGGAAAAAAAACATTCATTGGGCAAATAATGGATATTAAGTTTGAGCTCTATATTGAGACATGGTGTTATTAAAAAGAGTATTTAAAGTAATCAATATTAATAAATTGGAAGCCGTTCTTCAAAAGCAGTTTAAAATTGTTTTTCAAAACATAGTTTCACATGCTGATGTGTTTTTCTTTATTTTATTTCCCATGCTGGTAATTTACGTTCTTAATCAATGCCAAATATGTTAGTGCTGTAATCACTTTCATGGCATCATAGCGTTATTTATTTGTGGTGGGGAGATGTGAGTGCATCTTTAATGAAATCCACCACAAACATTATCCCAGCACAATCTAATCTGGAGCATTTCATTAACTCACTTATATTTAGTGTTCACGCCTTTGTCTTCCCGTCATTTCCTCCTCTGCTTAGTTCACTCTAAAGCCTCTTAAAAGGCCTCCTCCCTACTCTTAATAGTGTTTAACCTTATGTGCTCTCTTAAGGGCTATTAAGCTTTGTTATCTCTATCGGAATCTAGACTTATTTTACATTCTCAAACAATGTCAAAGTTACAAGGATTTTCTTTGAATTTCACCATGATGCTCTACTGTTTTTCTAGGAAGCTTGAGATAACATTATCTGCTAAAAAACAGGTTTGCAATATATAAAGAAAGGATCACAATGGCCTGGGTGTGCAGTTCTACCTCTATTGAGCCCTAAAGAAAGGGCTTAGTCACCCCCTGATGCACCAAACTGCACTTCATTCTTAATTAAGAGTCCTGACAACCTGCACAACAGGTGATCTGAATAACTTTCTCATCACCTCTTGAAGTCACATTTACCTCAAATGTGTTGCAAAGTACCAAATAATGAGGGACTGCCATAACCATTAATACAATTCATCCCCACCACTATTGTCCTTGCCATGACAGCTTCCCTCTCCCTCTCATAAGCTTGTTGGGACTGAATACAAATATAATATTGGTCCAATAGTGTAGTGTTATCACCTACAATATAGCAACAATAATTCATTCACACTATTCAATTGCTTTTCCCTTAACAGTTCAAGGATAATAATGCACACATTTACAGAAAAGCTTACCATGACCGTTTCACCATACATGATACATGATGTTAGTACTCAATGTATGATGCAATTGCTGAATCCTTGCTCGCTCCTTCACCCTTTTTATTCTTATGTATGACTCAACTCGTGCAAATGCTTGTGTGAATGTGAACTCTGTACAAGGTTGATGGGTATTATTAAAGCTGCACTTGTATTGTACTTTAAGAGTAGCAATGGCAGTTGGATCAAATGATATTGATGAAAGGCAAACACACCCACAGAAAATGATCACCTAACCCCTGCAGTTCCCAGCAGGGCTGCAGAAATGTTTAGCCTCTTTTAGCTTATTGTTTTGGTTTGCTGGTTGATAAACTCCAAATTCGTCTCCAGGCTAAGATAAAACCATCATACCCTACTTGCCCGGCAGCAAAGTACACAAAGACAAAGTGAGAACATTTAGAAAATAATGAGTATTCAGGTTAAGTTAGGGCTTATTTTTAAAGATGTCCATGTTATATATATATACAATTCAACATTGGGAGGAATCCAGTTTGGTAAAGAACCCCTCACACTACAGGATCCAGACAGCCTGAAGTCTGCAATTCTTTAGAGAAGAAATCCGACCCAAAATCTGTCCAATTACCCTCTAGTTTGGGGCCAACTGAATGCAGCTTTAAAGAAATAAACTGTGTTTCATTGTCTCTCTTTGTAACTGCCTGGCTTTCTGTTTTTCATTGGTTATGTTCCCCAAAAATCATCTAATGATTTGGAATATCATGGAATTTCCTACAATCAATTGTGAATTTTAGTTATAATTTTAATAAATAAATAAAAACACTTTGTTTGGTTTCGGTAATTTTTCTGTGCTGTGTGAATTACTGAAACCAAACGAAGTGTTTTTATTTATTTATTAAAATTATAACTACAATCCGAAAAAACAGGGGAAGCCTGGCTTTCCTTGGCCTCCAGGAGAAAACGCCACTGCAGGGAATGACAGTATATGACAATCAGTTACTGAGTTGGATTTGGTCTTGTGGTTTTTTTTAAAGAACAACAACATGCCAGAAAGGGGTCATTTGAAGAGCTAAGAAAGCGTCCTGACTTATGAAGTCATACATTTCACATGACGGCCACAGTGGGAACCTAATTGTTTTTGTTTCATCTTATTGCTTCTTATCAATTCTCTATGTGTCGTTTGCTTGTGTTGGCTGTGTTTCTGTTTGTATTTTTTTCATTTAGTTTTCTCATCATATTCTCATTCATCTGCCCATCTGTCTTCCCACTCTGTTATTCAGCTTCTCCGTTACTTGTTTTTCCTCTCTGTACACCTGTCTGTGCCTCTCTCTGACACTTTTCCTGCCGGTCCCCCTACATTTTGCCATTTTTTTTGTGCATTGTTTTATTTGTTCTGTCTGTCAGCTTTTAGCTTATGCTGTTTCTCCTTCTCTGTATCAGTGTTTTCTCTCTTTCTGTAAGTTACTTTCTCTCTTTCTTTATCATCCTCTCCTATGAACGTTCATGTGTGTTTGCGTGCATGTGTGTTCTCATTGTGTGTATGAGCATGCTTGAGCCATCTTGGCCAGTGTGTTGGCTTCACACTGTGTGCATGTGCGCCATGACTGTACGTCTGATTCATCACTCTCCTTCTGTTCGAGGTGTGAAATATATTTCTGTTTCGAGAAACCCTTTGACTTCAATTACAGATATTGAGAAGACGCTGCCAACAGTGCAGTGCTAACACCTTCAATATCACAACTCTAATTATTAACACTGATCAATTGCTTTTTCCTTAACAGTTTTGTAGAAGAATGCAAATCTACTTTTAACCCATACTTATACTTCTAATACTGAGACTGACTACCTACTAAAGCTGTTTGACCTTACTATAGGATTGTACTACTCTCTGTATGTCCCAGATTAATCCTCCTCTGCCCTTTTTATACTTATCCATGATTATGTTTGTGTGAATGTGGATGTGATGTGTCTCAGGTCCCTTCAGATGACTGGGGCGGGGGATATGGCGCTGGCAGTGGGACAGACAGCGGAGGGGAGATTCCTTGTCGCCGCATGCGGAGCGGCAGCTACATCAAGGCCATGGGCGACGATGACAGCGCTGACTCAGACAGCAGCCCAAAAGCCTCGCCCAAATCTACCCTGATCGCCCAGAGGGATGCCTTCAGACGGTCCATCAGCATGGATCAAAGGTCAAACGTCACACATGTAGTGTTTGCATAAATGCCGAAAGATCATTCAGCTGCTTTGCATAGAGAAATATTCATACACACTCCAAACTGCCACTTTTTGGCCTTTATAGAGTGCTGGGATAAAGTTGTTGTGTAGGCTAAACCCGAAGCATTTTCCTCGTTGACATAAATGTAATGGGATTTTTACATTTGGTTTTGAGACTTTTTTTGAACAAATGCAATCGTAAGAAGTTGAAAGCTAAGTTGATGCTATCAACAAACCACACCACGGTCGCATACCCTAAAGTAACCACCACATAGCTAACAGCGAAATGGTGATGACTTTAAGAAGTTTAATTTAAACATTTGACAGTAATCGTGATTTGTATGATACCTAAAAGCAAGTGGGTATTTGACGACATTTTATGTAACATAACAAAAGGTCAAAGTATTAAGCTTCTGTTATCCACTGACCTTACTTCGGTCATCTAACCGAAAACCCATTAAAAAAATATCGACTTTGAGATGAGGGAACAGGAAGTGCATAAGTCCTAACTCATATATTATGTTGTACAAAAAAGTATATTCCTATTATGATAAAACTCAAATTCATATTAAATGAATAGAATGGAAACTTGGGATTTGTTTTTGGACAGATTTAACTGCACTTGTGAAAAAAAACACATGAATAATTAATTTACTGAAATGTTGAGTAGGATTCAAACAAGAGAAACCCATTTTAGTGATAATGTGATGCACTGTGGTCGTTCCTATTCGACATGGGAATGCAGCATCACAACACTCAAAGTGACTCCAGCTGGCAGTTACAGAGACAGACTCAGTGAATCTTTATTTGATAGTTTTGGTTAATTAAATGTGTGTTGATGCAGTGAGTTATTTACAAAAATAGCACAACTAGATTAGACATCATTACACATCAAGAATATAATATCAAGTCAGTAAAAAATTACTTTTGTCTCCTCGTCGTCCCCTTTTGTTTTTACAGTCGTCAGAAATGCTGACTTTGTGCATTATTTGTTTGATTCAGGTACTCGTGTAAGCAGTGTACAGACTCCTACCCCAACAGCCGAACTACACCCAAAACCCAAACGCGCTCTCGTAGCTACACCCGCTCTCTGACCAGCTCACAGGTAACAATGTGCTCCATTTGTGTAAACCGTGTATTCACAAGTTTCTTTAAGTTTAGGTGTCCAGACTTCAGCAATATGTCCTTTCCTTCAGCTGGGAGACACGTTGAACCGTCAGTTCGAGGCGGTGTGTGAGACCATGTTCGGGGAGGTGGAGTCTCAAGCCGTCGAGGCCCTGGACCTTCCCGGTGTTTTCCGCACGCGCAGCCACAGCTACGTCCGTGCCATCCAGGCCGGCTGTTCCCAAGACGACGACTGCCTCTCCGTCTTCTCCATGTCGGGCCCCCAGGGAAGCATCAAGGCCGGGGCGGGTGAGTGTATGCGTGTGTGTGTTTTGGCGTACCATTATGCAGCATCTGTGTTTTGTAAGGGTGTGTGTGGCTACCTTTTATATGGTGGCCACCTGGTGAGAGACAAAGTGGGAGTAGTAACTTCCCTATTGACAGATTTTGTCAGCTTACCTACACAAAAGCAAGTTTATTCAATTACACACACACAACCGCAAACCCTACACCCTTGCACAGATGTGTGCAATCTGTGCATCCATTTTTTATTATTTTTTATTCTCTATTCTTTTCAATCTCTATGATCTCGGTTTTCCCCCTAATCATTTTGCAGTATTTCTTTGTGTTTGTGTAAATGTGTGCATGCTCTAAGCACAGAATCGTATGCATGTTATTCTGCATTCTCTTTGTTCTCTGTCATCTCTGTATCTCATCTTTCCCACAACCCTCCACAGGCTCAATAGGTACAGGAGTGTTTATAATTATGATTATAGCTCAGCGGCTTTTCCCCCCGTCTTTCTGTCTTCCGTATGTCTCACTGGTGCATTCTCAATCTTTTGCCTTTTTACTCCATATCAATCATCATTTATTTGAATGTCATTCGTGCATTGTTTTGTTCTGATCATTTTTTGTGTAACTATTCTCAAGCACTCACAGTAAATCTGAAGTCTTGTGTGTTTGTGCAGGAGACTGCAGAGAAACTAGCTTGCAGGACACAAATGTCTAAGCTTAGACCAGCAAATCCCTCCTGATATTTATAAAAGCCTCTGTGAAGTGTCATATAAATCATCGATAGACACACATTCTCTGTACACAAACTCAAAGACCCACACATATCTATACCCACATCTGCACACTGGAGCTCAGAGCTTCCTGATATTTTTTGTAAACTATGACAAGCTGGTAGGTGTTCTAGACTGTGAGAAAGATGCATTAAAGTTTGATCCTTTATTCACAGTAAATACACTGCGTGCACTCGCATGTGCGTTTGAGGGAGGAGAAAGAGACAGAATGTGCGCTCCTCATTTTAATACTTCTCTCAGGAAATTGCTTCATCTTCCTCAGAAGCACAGTTAGGTTAGCTCAAGGGAAAGGGTCTGTCACATCTGTCTTTTTTCACCACGTTGCATCCTGCCTATATTACTGAAAGTCATAACAAAAGCTGAATTTTGGGGTGAAAAGAAATAGAGCTTTTGAGTTGCCTTTATGAGTCTGTCACATTTGCATTATTATTTAATGATTTATGTTGTTTTTATTCTCCCTCTTTGCATTGCTTTACCTACTTTTATGACTCATTTCCCTCTCTTTCATTTCACCTTCAAGTCTTTTGTAAGTATCCACCTCCCCTTCTCCCTGGTGATGTAGTCCCCATTTTTGCTTTTAACTGCTCACTTTGCCTCTATCTTCCTTTCTCTCGCTCTTTTGTCACTTCAGTCTTTCCTTATCGTAAAGGTGCTCCTCCGCCACTCCCACCTCGCATGTCCAAGTCTTCTCTCTCGGTGCGAGCACAGAGCAGCACAGAGTCCACCCAGGATGCCTACTTTCAGGGTGGTGGACAGATGGCCCCGAGTTCAGGCTCTGGGCGCCCCAAACAGCACAGCAACTCGGTGGACCTGGGCAGCTCTGACGGCCCCTCGGGTCGCCTCTCCAGGGGGGGCTACTACACGGCCACAGGCTCACGCTCCCGACAACACAGCAACTCTGCAGAGAGTCTGGATGGGGTCAGGGGTTCTCGGGAGCTAGTGCTCTACGGAGGGGCCCCGGGAGTCGGAGTGAGGGCCAAACACAGCAGCTCGGCTGACAGTCTGCTGGAGGGGCCACCGCGGCCGGCCAGGGAGAGGGACGGCCGGGGCGCGGGCAGCCTGGGGAAGTCCGTCTCTCTGCCTCAGAACAGCATGGTGCTGAGCAAAGCTGGGGGGCAGGACGACGGGCGTGGGGGGAGAAAGTGGAGGCCGTCCATCGCCACGCAGGTGAGGAAGGAAATGTTACCCTTTTTAATTAAGTCTGCGACTAACTAGTTTAGTCACAATCCCATAATAGTTTAATACATAAATGTCAAAGATAATGCAAATTGCTTGGTTTGTGTGAAGACAGTAACTACAGTATACCAAGCATATTCAATATAGTATAGCCAACTAATGCAGGGAAATCTTGCATTTTTCCCAGATTTGGACGTGTTGGAGAGCTTTAAGCTGTTGTTTCACTATTCTGATCAACTCAAAATCAGGATGGTGCATATAGGAAATTCATTACAATAAATGTTTTGTTAGAATGGAATACAATGTACAAAAAATTGCGAAAATATACCAACAAAAAGATAATTGCAAAAATGCAAGCCATATGGTGACTGCCCACCAATTGGCTACTCTGCAGTGATTAGCACAAGACAACTGTCAGAGAAACTGCTTTTGTACTAATTGCTCCCTCCGTCAGAGCATTCCTTTCTCCTGAGTTTATAAAACTTTTTGTCCATAATAATGTGCAAATATTGAGCAAGCTGTTGAAATTACAGCCTTGAACTGTATGCTTTGACTGTTACTGCCTTGGGCTTTTTTCCTTCGTCTTCTTTTTAATTATCTTTTTGTGGCTTTCCCACAAACTAACAGCTGTTAAAAGTTAAGATGAGGTCCAAGGCATAAAAGAAGTGAGTGCAATATCAAAATATTCAGAAACGAAATTTACAAATTACATTCAAAGGGGCATAATTAAAGTAATAGGTCACTAATGATGATATACAGTAAAGGGCTTTCCTAAGGGCTTTTTCACAAACTAACAGCCTAATAAAGTGGGCCGATAGAGTTTTTGTCTACATTACAATACATTTCATGAAACGACATAAAATATTTGCGATGTAGTAAAATTAAGATGTTTCTGCCAATGGAAAACCCAACCTCAACTAAAGGTCTAAACTAGTGTAGTTCTGGTGGCATTCATGAGGTGCCTCAAAACATAGGACACAATTAAATTAAGAATCCAAAACAAAATGGGGCTAAAATAAAAGCTTTTTACAGACGTTGGGCCACTACAAATAACTCACAGGGACCAGAGGGTGAACTGAAGGTGTTCGCCCTCTGGAAACCAAACACTGAGTGAGAGAAGGAGCAGGAGCTGGGTGTGGCAGGATTTTAAAACTTTACCAAACCCAGCTGAGACAAATCACTCCTAACTAGCAGCCTGCCAGCTGAGCAGCTGCTGTCACTCAAGGGGACTGTCACTCATTGCCAAAAAACAAATCTTGATACATTTCTGATACACCTGTGTGCAAAATGTGAATAAAAAAAGGAGTGGAAATGTTTTTAGAAAAAGTATTTACGGAGAAAATGCCCAAGACCCATTAGAAGTGGTTTGCTGATAACATAAGCATTTTGCAATCACAACCTTGAAATAATTCATAACTAAGCAAGAAGGTCATTGATAATCATGATATGCTAAATATTTTATTGTTGTTTTTATTACAAAGTAAAAGGTAAACTAAATATTTAAGAGCAGTCGCCATACAATATATGCCTTTAGTTTGACAGACATTCAGTTATTTGCGTCCTCAACTAAATCCTCCCCTTTTGGTAAATTTCAGTTTAGCCAAACTGTGAAACATATCCCTAAATAAACTCTTAATCATGTCCCCACACTGAGAGAAATCGAGGCTTTGTCACATTTAAGATAAACACAGTGACAACAACAGACAAATGTCTATTAATCAACTAAATGTAATGACTAGTATTTTAAGCACTAATCAAAATACAGTTAAAATACTCAAGGTTGGCTACATGGTAAAGAAACATGTAGAGACTTGCAGGGAGTAATTTAAGAAGATAGGTCCGACTCCTTATGTGTGCGTTAAATACAAAGCAAGAGTCAGGAATCAATGAGCATAGTTTAGCATGACCAGGGGGGTATACTACGAAGCAGGATTTTCGTTTAGCCGGCTAAATTCAGGGAAAACTCCGGCTTTCCGGTCCTACGAAGCTGGTTCTCTTTTTAGCAGGCTAGATCTACATGGTAATTTATGCTTAGCGGCTAACCTGGTCGGGACCAGGGGCCTATACTACGAAGCTGGTTCAACCTAACCTGGATATGTTTGAGTTAGCCGGTTGGCCTAATCCAAAACATACGCGCTCTCGCTAAACTGTACTACGACGCTGGTTATCAAGTGGATCGCTCAAGCCAGCCGTTGCCTATCTAGTTAGGTGCGCGTTCACATGAAAGGGGTGGTATCTGGAGCATTCGACCAATCACAAACATGGAGAAGCGTACTGACAGCGCAGCGTCAAACTTCCTGAATGAAAAGTGAACTTTAACACTAGTCAAAAATGAAGAAGTTAAACTTTGAACATCCATGACTTAAACACTTTATCCAGGATAAAAGCCACATAGCTGCACCTGCAAGGTGAATACAGCTGGCAAAAGAAAAAGTGTTTGAATGCGTACATTAACAGGTTTATGATATCACTGCCCCGTCTAAAACACGATCTGACTTTAATTACATTTGTCTCGAGTGTTTCGTCAACTTAATGTGTTGCTTAAAATAATACTTCTGCATACAGTATGTGACACTGAGTGTTGCACGGCCAGATACGGCTCAGCTGACTCAGATAAGAAAATATATGATACATTATGAAGTGATATGCCGCGGACTGTACTTAATGTTACTCTGATCCGGTTACTTATGTTGTGGCAGATATTTAATTAAGCTTTCTTAACGCTAATGTTATAATAGTCAGATTGCTCTGAAGATGGGAGGTGATATTCTATTAATGTTCACACACAGTCGGTGATTTTTGCCGGCCGTCTTTCCTGCGACGGCAGCTTTTCTGTATTTCCTTTCTCCTGTAATATTACTTGATCGCTTTAAACTCCGCACACTGAGCTCTGATTGGTCAGCAGGCAGTGCTTTCACTGAGTTGAACTCTTAGTCTGCAACCTAACCAGGGGGGTATACTACGAAGCAGGATTTTCGCTTAGCCGGCTAAATTCAGGGAAAACTCCGGCTTTCCGGTCCTACGAAGCTGGTTCTCTTTTTAGCAGGCTAGATCTCCATGGTAACTTATGCTTAGCGGCTAACCTGGTCGGGACCAGGGGCCTATACTACGAATCTAGTTCAACCTATCCTGGATATGTTTTGAGTTATCCGGTTGACTTAATCCAAAACAAAGCCGCTCTCGCTCAACTGTCCTACAACGCTGGCTATCAAATCCTGGATAAAGTGTTTAAGTCATGGATGTTTAAAGTTGAACTTCTTCATTTTTGACTAGTATTAAAGTTCACTTTTCATTCAGGAAGTATGACGCTGCGCTGTCAGTACGCTTCTCCATGTTTGTGATTGGTCGAATGCTCCAAATACCACCCCTTTCATGTGAACGCGCACCTAACTAGATAGGAAACGGCTGGCTTGAGCGATCCACTTGATAACCAGCGTCGTAGTACAGTTTAGCGAGAGCGCGTATGTTTTGGATTAGGCCAACCGGCTAACTCAAACATATCCAGGTTAGGTTGAACCAGCTTCGTAGTATAGGCCCCAGGTCACAGGAGTTAAATTAGCTAGCCGGCCTTTCCCCAAAATGAAAAAATATGCCTATTAAACTCACTATTTATAGTTATGTACCCAGTTATGTTTGAAACCAGGGGAAATGCACACACACCTTCCTATTTATTGAGGTTTAGAGGTGCTAGGAGGCAGATGTGTAGCTATGGCAGAGCCAGGCTAGCTATTTCGCATATAAATTAAGCTAACCAGATGCTGGCTGTAGCCTTTTGTTATGAAAACGAATACTTAAATTCCAGTTTTGTATGAGGTCTTACTGTTTTGCTTTGTGGCTTCTTCTGCTCCAGGTGGACAGCTCAGAGACTCTGTCAGATTCAGACCCAGATGGAAAAGCTCTGACAGAGGTCCACTCTATAGGAGTCCAAGTGGAAGATGACAAAAGGTAACGGAAACACAACATGAAATCTAAGCAGGGGGAAAGTTTTCGTCTTTGAAATCTCTTACAAACTTGAGATGTGTTTATTTTGCCTGACATTTAGCTTGCCTTAATTATGGACACAAACCTCCAAACTATGATATGTTTTTGTTTATTTGCTAATGTTGTCTTTGCGGGGAAAGAATGTGGCTTTATCAAGAGCTTTTGGTCTTTGCACACTAATTTATGTGAATAATTGTAATAAATAATGTTCAAAAAAAGCCTTCACCTCCTGGGCGCCCAACAGTGCAGCCACCTATGGTTGATTTCTAGGCTAGATCCTATTATTTCATTTAACATTTCATCAGAGATCACAGCTTGAACTCATTAACACTTTGTTCCAAGAATGTCTTGTTTTTATCAACTGTAACCATGACTACTGCAAATCATACATTCAACATGATTTTTCACATGTCATGCAGCCCTTTTCCTAATTGTATCCAGCATCACTTACGGGTCAGATTCACTTGCATGCGAGCACCCCCAACATCACACACTCCCAAACCCCAATGTTCCCCACTTCCTGCATCTTCAAGGATGACTCACATCTAACGCCTTTTTACACAGCAAACAAGGGTGAGGGGAGGTATAAACTTGTTATAAAGTAAACATTCATCACTGAGTCTATTGACATGACATTTGCACACACTGCTGCGTCATATGCCAAAGGATTTAACAGGGCTTAACACAACCCAGTGAGTATTAGTGACTGCAGTGACAGCTTGACTCAAAACTTATTTGAATATGGCTTTTGCATGCGATACTCTGTGTGACCGGATGGTTCTGGGCCTGCTGTGACTCCCTGTGTTGCAGGCGTGCTCGCTTCAAGCGCTCCAACAGCGTGACGGCGAGCGTGCAGGCCGACCTGGACCCCGAGGGCTTCCCCGGGCTCAGCATCGCCGTGCCAATGCAGGACAAGAGTCTCCAGTTCGGCTGTTCTTTCCAAAGGCACTCCTCAGAGCCGGAGTCAGCAAGCCAGTACACAGAGTGCCAACGCACTGTGCACACGCAGGGACAATGGGCGTACAGAGAGGTAGTTCTGCAGTGATATGCATGGCCAAACTATTGAACTGTATCTTATCAGTCATCATTCAGGGGTCTAAAGTCCCCTTTTGATGTAGAGTTAGGTATTACGAGTACCTTGAGGGTGAGGTACAAACATGTTTTATTTCAGACTAGTGGAAATAAACATTCAAAAAATACACTATATCTTTATTTTATTCTAAATATACTGTCTATGCATTCCTATGTGTTGCAGGCTTTTACAAAAGGGTTAGTTTATAAATAATGTATAGCTTGATTTATATTGAAAACTTGTATCCCTGAAAATCTGTAAGGATGTTGACAGTTTTTAATTAAATGGTGGCAAAGAGATCTAAAAAAAATCTCTCTGTAAAATAAATAGACTCTTATACGTCAACAAAATGAGAAAAACTTTTAAAAATGGGCTTTATTAAATGATCAAATTGCAATATGCAAATTAAAAAATAATGACAAAGAATAATAATGCCTCAATTGCATATTTAAACATCGCATTACCGACAACTTGTAATACAAAAAAATGGTGTCTTAATGCAAGTCATCAGCTAGGGAAGTTTCATGATGATATCTATAAGTTAAAATCTTTAGTGTCTTGCAAAATACAGTGTCCAACTGTTTTCTTATGCCATCACAGGACTTACTCCAGGGTGGCTATACCACGGAGGACTGCCCAGGGGACCCGCGGCCCCACCAGCACCCACACCTGCCTCCACGATCCCACTCCCCTCTGCCCATCACCTCTGAGAGAGCGTGGGCGGGGACGCCGTCACTGGAGGGCCCCCGGAGCTTGCCCGACTCTGGCCGCGCCTCGCCCTGCATGAGAGACGGAGAGTTCTTCTTACGCCTCCTGCAGACAGAGGTGGAGAGGATGGAGGGCTGGTGCCAGAACATGGAGCGAGAGGCAGAGGAGAACGAACTGCCAGAGGAAGGTGAGTTTGGGCGGCAGGTCAAAAAGGATCAGAGAGAAAAGAATAAACAATGATGATTCTTGGTTTTCTAAAACGACATGTGCGCTGTTTCCGTAGTTCTTGAGCTGATACGAAATGCAGTTGGCAGTGCCCAGATGCTCATGTCTCAGAAAGTCCAGCAGTTTTTCCGCCTCTGCCAACAAAGTGTGGTAAGTATGTGTGATAGCACAGAAGATCATGACAACACACATTATAAATGGTGCATGGTTTTGCTGAGATTCACAGCAGCTAAAAGCAAACTAAGCTTCGCTGCAGAAACAGTTGCAAAAAAATATTATTCAACCGTCTTTCTCTCTTGGATATTGTTTTTTTTTTAATCTTTAATAATTTTGTTATGCTTCTTAGTCAAGATGAAGCTGTCTTTGGCTCTTTTCTTGCTGTAGCAAATGCAAATGTCCCCTCTGTGGGACGAATAAAGGTATTCTGATTTCTGATTCTGATCACATGTCATGTCCCGCCCCCCCACAGGACCCTTCAGCGTACCCTCAGCCCACCTCTCAGGACCTGGCAGGCCTCTGGGACCTGCTCCAGCTTAACATAGAGGACGTCAGGGTCAAGTTTCAGGACCTCCAGAGGCTCAAGGACTCTGGTTGGAGGCTCCCACCTGAAAAGAAGGTGAGAGGCCTGGGGGTCCAAAGAGCCCTGGTTTCCCTACGCCACTCCCCCAGAGCTAAGATGGCGGTGTGCAGAAGAGTAGCGCAGATGGTCGTGCCCTCCAAGCCTTTGCAGACTGTGAACATACACAACAGCCAGAGGAACTGAACTGCACAGGATAACATGGAGTCTTAAACTGATAAAATATCGAAATACATCAGCTTTTCTGCATTTATTGCAGCTGAGAGGAAAAGTCCTTGTCTTTCACATTACTGTCGATAAAGCTCACTTTCTGATACTGACTACATTATTCTTGATAACAAACTAACAATTGTTTCTCTTCTCTTCTTTTCCTTTTTACATCTTCGTTTTCCTCCTTATTCTCCCATTTCATTTCCTTTTGTGTCACCCGATGCCGATGCATGCTGGGATGTTTTTTGGTTCCCATTTATTTTGTTAACTATGATTATTTGTTTCTCATAATGTCTCGGTGTGTGATTCTTCCTCACTGAAATTATACCTTTTTTGTTTTGCCATTCTATTTGTTTTTCCCAATATCTCCTCTTTGTTGCATGGAATTTTTGTACAACCATACAACCTTTTTGTTCCCGACACGATATATCCACTGTCCCTTTCCACCAACGTCTCACCATGGCCGGGTTAGGAGGATAAGAAGCTTCCTCCTCCCTTACCAAAGAAGCCAGCAGGTGGGGTGAGTGGCAGCCTCCGGGCGGATAGCGTCGGGGATGTGATCGGCGGCGGTGGAGGAGGAGCTGGGTCGGGGGGCCTGGTGGTTCCTCGCATTGGTGGACAAACCCTACCCATGAGGGAGAAGTCCCTGGACCTCGGGGACCGTCAGAGGACAGAAGCGAGGAGGAGGCTCCTGCAGACCAAGCGTACCGCTTCCTTCAGGCAGAACTCGGCCACAGAGAGCGCAGACAGCATCGAGATCTACATCCCCGAAGCCCAGACTCGACTCTGAACACAAAGCCCCCTCACCTCCTCACTCACCCTCAGCCCCCCTGAAGCTGACCTGTCTCAGTCTTTCTCTGAGTTTTTGAATCTTCTACAGGTCATCGCTATTTATCTGATACCCTCCCTTGAGCATCACTTCACTTCTCACAACTACAATTCACTACTCTTGCTCATTAAACAAGCAATGACAGCCATTTTAGTGTCTTGAAATTTGGAAATGTTACTGACACAGAAGCCTAGACCTGAAATGGTAGCTAGCAGATATGAGTTATAGACTTTTTTAAGAATTTCCTTTTGGCTGACAAGCAAGAAACAGTCCACTTTTATAGCAGTAGTCAGCGGAGGTTCACGCAGTAGTAGCATGCCTGTGCGTGTTCACCCAGCACTTCTCCATCACTGAAAATAAAGGGCTTAACGGGAACATAACCTCTGCGGAGATGACAGAACCTCCCTAAAGATCTCCTGTTGCCATTTCCTGAATGCTACCAGTATGGATGAATAAACATGGATTCATTTCTCACCATCAGTTTAAATGCCCTAAAGTCAGATGGTTGGCAATCCCCAAAGAACATTCTCCAAGCATAGTCAGTCAACTACAGCTGGCACTTTTCACCCAGTTACCATCTGTCCACCCAGGCAGCCAGTCAAAAGAATATGAAACTATTTTCTGTCACTTTCCCTCACTCCTCCTGCCTATCCATGGCCTCCCCTCATCATTCAGCTGTGAGGCTGTTTGAATGTGCAAGTGCTATTTGTACATAGTGTGCACACTCGTGTTTGCCAAAAGGAGCTTTTGCGGTGTAGCATCACAGCCTTGACAGCTAGAGAGCAACACAAACACACACACAAATTGCTTTTCCGCTTTTTATGTAGTCTCTCTGAAGTTTCAACTGTTCAGGGGTGGGGTTGCAGGGAATATTTAGGGGGATATGTTTGGTGGCTTTTCAGGACTTTACTGATACGGTCCCTATTTCACTGTGAGATTATAGCACCACCGAGTGGTCAAATGAGGGCCCAAACCAACAACAGTGGTCTGCAGAGAGCTCTTTCAACCTCAGTCAGGAATTATCAAACGCCCTGATGAAACAGCCATGAAAGAAGTTCTGTTTCTTTTTTTTCTCTTCTCTTCTCTCATATCTTCAGAATGGACTTGATATGTTTGCATAAAAAGCAGAGGATCACAAAGTAAAAGTGGGGAGAGCTAGGAAGCAGAATCCAATCCACGCCTAACTACAATCCTCTTAGTTTCAAACGCCGCTGACGGAAAAAGGAAATTATGTATCAGAATCGAAAGAAAACTAAATAAGTCGTTTTTAATGTAGCTCCTCCCCAAAGCCTGTCCAAAGAGAGGAAAACCACTTGTGGTGAAATGATAGACACAAAGGCAACTTGATAGTGAGATTAGGTTACACTTGGTTTGAATGGAGTTATACTATGTTTGTTGCACTGTGTGTTCCTTACCCTTCCTCTTTATTTATTTCTTTGTTGGCTGGTGTTCCAGTTAGGCACGATTTTAAAAGCTATGAAAGGGTCTTATTTATTTATATGTGCGAACAGATATTTCGGTAGTGTTTTGTGTGTGTGTGTGTGTGTGTGTGTGTGTGTGTGTGTGTGTGTGTGTGTGTGTGTGTGTGTGTGTGTGTGTGTGTGTGTGTGTGTGTGTGTGTGTGTGTGTGTGTGTGTGTGTGTGTGTGTGTGTGTGGGTGTGTGTGGGTGTGTGAGAGAGGATGTGTGTCATAAGGGACGAAGCCCAATGGAAAAGTCCAAGTCAGCAGTTTGAAATAGAAAAAAAAACACATTTTAAGAACCTTTTAGCATGACCTGTTTTTTTCCTTTTCTAACACTTGGATTTGGAATGTGTTGGCAACATGGGATATTTTAATGGGAGATGTATATTTTATAATATAATCTACATTTCTAGATTAGTAGAGACTATTGAGTACAGTATATGTACAAAAGCAGCATATATCAAATGTGAAATACTACAGTATTATTATTATTATTATTATGATAGATTATAGCATTGTGTGATACTACAGCTGTGTGGCATATCCAGACTCAGTACATGTGAAAAATGATTTCAAATGAGTATTATCTTGAGTTTGTGAGTGCTGGGTCAGGTTCACAGGGTATAACTGGCAAGAGTGTTTATTGCCAAGTATGATCCTCCTTAGGCCTACTGTATATCTGTCTGTGGTTCTAACAACATATACTGCTGTACCCCCTCCCTGTATTTCCCCTTTAGAACCAACTACATGTGCCTAACCAGCTATATGTGGAGGTTTTCTTTGAACACAGTTTACAGTATATATATATATATATATATAGAAAGATATGTAAATAGAAAAAGTATACAAATCTTCAGAGAATATTGTTAAAGAAAATGTTTTTATCAAATTGACACGCCATCCTTTGTCTCGCTCACTGTCACTCGCAATACACACATAAGACTGACGGATTTTGTTGATGTTACTACTGCATGTTTTATGTCAAACCTCCTTTGAAAAATGTTGCAGAATCTTGACTGATAAGAGTACATTTTGTAGCTTATGAACCCTTTTTTGTGATTGAAAACTATTGACAGGATTTTACAATGCCGTTATTAAATGAGTCATACCTTTGTACGAAGAAGACATCCTTGGAGGACTTATGACACTTGGCAATCAATGCTTTGATTTGAATCTCAGAAGAACAATTTAACAACCTCCATGTAAAACAAGCTGCCCTGGCAATTACAAAAAAGGGCTGAGAATCAGTCGACATGTTTAATTCATCTGCAGCACTGTGGGTTGCAGCCCTTTTTGTCGACTCATCCTCCTCTGTTCCCCTCAAATTCAACAACATCAAAGTGGTGTTTCACACAGCCCTCATCAAACAAAGCACAAATACCTGCTTTTCTACTGTTACTCCACTGTGAAGGCCTCTTGACTCCACCCTCACAATCCTCAGACCTACACACAGAGGGGTGGCATGGTCTTTCCATGAGGAGTCGGCCTTGAGGAACACCAGGAATCAAAGAGGCTTTGTGGGATTTTTATCCACCGTAGCAACTACTACTTCTTCTTCAATTCTCGCTTGACTTTGTCCTCTATACTATTGATCACGTTACGGTGTTAGCCAGCCACCTTGCCTTGAAACAGGTCCATAGCAAACACATTTTGGTGGTTTTTGATTTCCTTTGTTCCGTATTTACCCATCTTCACAGTATAAATACAGGAGCCTCAGCTAGAAATAGCAGCCTGGGTGTATATTGGACAAACATGATCTGAGCACTCACCAACACACCACAATGACTGCTATACGAACCCTTTCACCTCTTTCTAGAAGTGCAAAAACCACTCGTGGACAGCCAGACGGACAGGACACCTCAGAGTACCTCAGTTTCTAGCAGCAGTGTCTCCAACCCCGACCCATGCCACTGCGCTCAGGGGATTCTCTCACACAGACGGACCCTGATAATACAGGATCAGTCCCGCGGGAATGTTGTCCATGTTCTCTGAATAAAAAGGGGCAATCATTTGAGCCCAGATTCTCTTGTAGCCATTTTCTGAGACTGGCAGAGCAGTGAAAGATGTTGTGGTCGTATAAAGAGCTCAATTGTAGCCAATGTGTGTGGGCTGTACTGTATGCTGTGCATTTGCAACAAAGTGCAACAGAAGGGATGCTGTAGCAGCAGATTTGAGTTTGAGTTATTCAGATATTTCTGAGGCAGAGCTGCTCTGGAGGAAAAAGCAAAGTCACTGGAGGTAAACCTCAGTGGGAGAAGCAAAGGACCTTTTTTGTCTGGCTTAGTAACCAGAGCTGTGAGCTGTGGCTTCTTCTTCTTCTTCTTCTTCTTCCAGTACTCCCTGCAATATTTAAAATATACCAACTATCAAATAAATAAGAAATCAACCATTTGATGTTTTGAAAATGCATTTTTGATTAGCACTCACAGTCCGCAATGCTTAGGGAACAATAGGACATTTTGGGATAGCATTAGCAGTAACTTTATACACATTAGTAGAACAGTAAACAGTGAAGCTGATATTTAATAAAATAACACTGGATTGTATTGTTATGGTTATTATTATATGCCAATTTGTTGTAAATATGTAGACAATTTCAATCAGACCCCAACACAAAACTGGTAACCCCGATAAACAAAAGGCATTACAGAATGTAAATACATTCAATGGCCTTTGGTGAGAAAAAGACAACCACCAACAGTATCAAAAAAGGGTCCATTTTAGTTTTGATTTAATTTTAAGAATTGTAACTCTAATTCTCATCTATACCAAATCTACATTAAAATATGTATTTGTTCCCTCCTCTTAGAGGTTTTACTTCACAGCCCCAGAGCAGCTTAAACCCCAGAAGAGTCTAACTGAAACTCCAATGTGCCTTTAGCACTGAGGTGTAAATGTGCTCATATGTGTGTGTTTGGTGTGTGCGTGTGTGTATTTACACTGTAGTGTTGCTTTACAGTACACACACAGGTAACCATGTGGGTCAGAAACAACTGAGCAATTACTGTGTAATTATCAAAATCCTACCCTGCCACCCTAGCGTTTACAAACATGTAAATACCTGTTGCCAATGGACATTGCTATTCTCAATATGACATATATTGTTATAACAATATGATTATTATTATTAGTATGATTCTTGTCATTAAAAGGATTCATTATTGCAATCACTCTCATTATTATAAATGGTGTTGTCAATTATAGCTATGGGTAAACATTGTTCTTTATTCAAGGGCGAGTAGTGTGTATGATAACAAAACAAAAAACGTTGAATACATGACGATACTTCTTGCGTTGCTGCTACTGAGGAGATGGGGTAGAAGTAAAGCTAAGTGACAATAACTCTGGGTAGACATTTTTCTCTGGGATCGATGATGGACACGCCAATGAGGAGTTAGAAATCACAATTGGAAAGTAAGCGTTCGACAGACGGACTGAATGGACTATCCAAACTTACGACCTTCTTTCTCCATTTGCCCCAATATGTTCTGCCAGATGAGGAAAACACGGACAAAAAAACTGTTGCAGACTCTCCACTCTCTGTATTCTACTCTATAATGTAGCAAAACTAAAATAGCCCCTCATTGTCTTCTCTCCACTTCTTTCATGTATTTCTCCTATCATTTTTGATCAAACGGGTTTGATACAGCGAGCTTTTCTGTCTTTAAGCTCAGCTTTATCTCGAGTGTTCTTGTTTTCTACACGTTTGATTCAGTGCCAAGACAGCATATTGTAAATGCAAACATTAAATGCTTTTTTTTCTCCTATAAAAAAAGTTGAGCATATAGCAATAGCAATGCCATAAGACATTAACTTTGTTTCATTAAGCCACCAGTGGATACACAACATGCATGAGAACACCACGGTGACGGAGGAGATGCTGAGTTTGTGCTGGACGACAGTGGAGGGTGTTGCACAGTGAAGTGTAAAATCATGATTCTGTTTGTTGTGCTTTGGTTCTCATTTTGTACATACACATTTATTTATTGATCTTGTATGTTTTATGGATCTAGATGTGTCCAAGGGGCACGTCCGATAGCGCTGAAGCCCGGAGAGATGGCACACTGTGACGTGGTTTACCCCCAACACAGAATGTAACACTGTCAACGTTGTCAAAACATTTTCTAATGGCTAATATTATTACTATTAATATGATTATTATAAAGCTATTTTAGCGAGTTAAATGAGAGGTGCTGTGTCTACTTAGTCTTTCTTTTGTGTGCATTTTCTGACTCTTTCTTAATAGGTCTCAATATGACCCCTTTGTTTACTTCTGTAACATAATGACATCCCTTTGTAACCCCTGTGCTTCTATTGGCTAGCGCTCCAACACATTGTACTGATATAGGCTAAGGGGCAGGACATCACTAAGCTGTTGACCAATCACAACAGAGCCTGCCAGCTGACCAATCAGAGCAGACTGGGCTCTGGTTTCAGACAGAGGGTGAAAAGAGGTGCTGCAGCACAGGCAGTATGAGAAAAATAAAAAGCTTTTTGAACATTAAAGCATGGATACATGTCAGAGTCGACACTACATACTGATATGAAACTAGAAAATGAGTATAACATACCCTCTTCAACAACATTATAAGGTGAGCTGTACAGTTGAGTGGATGTTGTTATTATTGTGATAGAGCCAGCTCTTTCCCCATTTCCAGTCCTGATGCTAAGCTAAGCGTCTTAAGCTTTGTATTTAAAGACATGACAGCAGAGATCTTCTGTCCAACTATTGAAATTCTTTTACAGAAAATTGTGTTAATGCAAGACCATTTTGCTTATACAAGCGGATTAAGAAAATATATTTTTTACAGATTGTAGAGGAAAAAATTGTTCAATTGCAGAAAAAAACCATGTTTACTCAGCTAGTAGCCTTATTACATCTTGTTGATAATGAAATAAATAACTAAGTAGATGGAAAGGTTTGCAGTGGAACCACATTTGAAAGCGCCATCCAAAATGCAAATCAGAGGTCAAAAGAAAACTTTCCTTTTCTTTCCTGTTTTTGCCCGTCGCAATTTGCAATGCAAATGTCGAGCTGAGCACATACATCTATTTAGGAAGGTTAAAGAAGAGGACAGAGAATAAATTAGCTCTGGCATTCTGAGTAAATTACAGTCTCTGTGGGTATACTTTTCACAGTCAGTCAGACTGACACAGTAAGGGTATATTTTGATCCATCCGCACCATATTTGTGGTCAATAAACTGCACTCATAAAGAAATCCCGCTGCTACGAATATAAAGTGTCTCACTGAGGTTGACATTCAGCGTAGAGCTAGTTAGTCAAATGTGAAAATGTTGGAGGTGAATGAGTAATGCCATCCAGAGGCACTTAAGGGAGTTACAGGGAGGGAAAAAGTGCTAACAAATGCTGCCCAATAGTGAACATACTACGGAGTGTGAAAACTAAGTGATCACACTTGAGTGCAAAAAGCACTCTCGAGGTTTGTACATCCTGTTCGGGACTCCAGAAAGTCAGATAGGATTTAAGTTTTAGAGGCAGTTGTTGTGTCTGAGCACAACTCAGCAGCAAGAAACAGGAAGTTCCTGAAGTAATGAGTCCTGAAGGATGCTTTAGGCGAATTGAGACACAGCTAGACAACTTTGTTTCTTGACCTAGCCTTAAGGGATGCTGAATGTCTCAAAACCCTACAGGCTAAAAGCACTGCAAGGAAGAAAAAAAGTCAAGCTATGAGCAGGAACAGCCGAGTGCCATCGAGCTATTATATTCAAGAGAAAGAACACATTTCTATTATCTGTACACTCAGAAACTCCAACCAAAACAGTCTAGATTAAAAAACAGCACGACAGGTAAGTGGAAATGTAACTTTTTTTGTAGTTGGACTGAACCCTCCCAGAGCTTCTTTGGAACAACATCAACCTGTAAGATACTCATATAATGTATAACACAACACGACTATTCATCAGAAAAAACAAATCATCTTTTTATTCAGTTGTTTTTAGAGTATGTGCATTGTATGTAAACGGTTTATTTTCCAACAAACCCTCCTAATTCATTATTTCTGAAACAGCAATTGGACAGCTGGGGGAGCTGCCAGGAGAGCTTCACAAGCCGAACAGAAGATACCACTTTTCATTCAACATTTGTATCTAAAAGAGTACAATTAAGAGGCAGTGACACATTCAATCTGGTCACCAGTTCAAGTCCCGGCAAGACCAAGTGCTACCGAGGTGTCCCTGAGCAAGGCACCGTTCCCTACACAGCTCCCCGGGCGCCGTTCAAAAATAGCAGCCCACTGCTCCTAACACAGGATGGGTCAAATGCAGAGAAACCATTTCCCCACGGGGATTAATAAAGTATATCGAAATCAAAAAAACATTTTTTAAAAGTCCTCAGAGCTATAAAAGGAATCATTGAAGAGGAGTGTTTCATTCTTTCATTTTTGGCACAAATACTAACCCATTAAACAAGCGCCGTCCCTTTAACCATAGTGCATACATTCACCCATATCCCAGAAAGATAATTAAAACCTGAGATATTAAAAATCATGATATTCAGCATTTTAAAGGTTCAAGGCTTACAGGATGCCGTCCAGTTTGAGAGTCCAGGCCTGCCCGGGGGCATAGGGCAGCTCAGGCAGAAGGACAGTGAGACCCCCACCCGGGCTGACCGGAGACCAGGGGAGAGGTTTCGAATTTCCCAACAAAGTCACCTTAGAAGGGAAGAAATGTGTGATTTAGTTTGTTATATTATATGAGAAACCGTATATGTTAGTGTTGGGTTGCTATACTGTTCTGCAGGTCCAGTCTGTTTTACAACATTAAACCGTTTTGATTTCATGCAAATCAGCATATGTCATTATGGTTCATTCTGGCATTTGATTGAAAAGTAGCCTTCATCAGAAACCATCAAGACGCTCAAATTAGCATTGCATTAGTAATGAGCAATATGACAGTGTGAGAAAACAACACTGTGTTTTTTTAACATGCTAACAAAGCCGCTAATGTATGTATAATCTATAAAAACAACATCATTTCAATCCCATTACCTTAGTGACGGCAGATGTTTTGGGTCCCAGTAGTAGCAGTGTGAGCTTGGGGGGTTTGGTGATCATGATGGCATACACAGAGGTTCCTTTAGAAGTATACCTAGAAAAATGGAGAAGATTATTGCTCAAATGATCCACTTCAGGGCATCTAGCATCTGAGTTATTAAGATGCAAACCACGCTACATCCTTTGTTGCATTTTCTCCCCTTCTCTCTTTACTTTTCAATCAGTAGTTAATGAAACATGCTTTAGTGCTGTTAACACGTAGACATGAAGAAAAACATGTTTATTTATGGCTGACATTTGATGTTTTTAAATCAGGTTTCATCTTTTTTTTTTAATATATATATATATATATATATATATATGTATATTAGTGGTGCACGATAATTATCTGTCCGATATTAGGAATTATGACGTCATCCCGATAAACCCGATAAAAGTATTAATAGCCCAGATAATATACAATATATGTTTTGGGTAAAAAAAAAGAAATACTGCGGTGTGGGTGGATTGGGATGAGGGGCGCTTGTTTTTCACTCGGCTCCTCCCGTTTTGCCAGTACTGTGGTATTAGTGGTTTAGGAAGAGGGGAGTTTTTCACAAATCCAGCGGTCCCTAACTCATGCCTGGCTGTGACGTAAATGGTGTGCGGCCGTGAAGCCAGGACAGTAAACAAAGATGTCGTCGGTAGTATGGGACTATTTCAAAGTTTCAGAGTTAGATAGTTCGCTTGCTATTTGTATTAACAAATGCAATGCAGAAGTTCCACGAGGAGGGAAAAAGGCAACGAGCTATAATACTTCCAACCTGATTAGTCACCTGAAACATCGCCATCGCTACGATGGTGTGTTAAAAGCATACGAAGACACCTGCGCTGCTAAACTAGCGGCGAATCCAAAGCCAGCTGCAAAGGCACCGGGGCTTTTACCTATCGACGAGGCTTTTGAAAAAGGCAAGAACTTTATTTGGGAAAATAAATATGGTCACTTTGAAGAGTCAAAACTGTTCTTGGCTTTGTTTTGTTCATAGTAGTAATGCTCATGTCATTTGCTCAATACTAGTCTTTTTTTTTACCACCAGCTGTGAAAAAACTACAGGTACATTTAATATATATATATATTATATTATTATCGGTTATCGGTATCGGTCTTGAGAAGCAGGAAGTTATCGGTATCGGTATCGGTTTCAAAAAACCAATATCGTGCATCCCTAATATATATAATAATTGTCTTCATCCTTTTTAAAGGGTGATTGAGACTGATTACAAATAATAATAATTATAATTCTGTTAATTAAATATAATCTTTTTTTGGAGTTCTTACACTCTTATTCATGACTCAAAAAGCAAGAAGAGCATTTGAATGTCAAAGTTATGAAAGCTTTGAAGCATCAAAATATTCGGTAGAGGAATACTTTATACAATGTGTGAATGCATTCATTTCAATAATACATCACAGGATTACAAGATCACAGAATGTTTCTCCCTCTGCTTCTTACCAGACTGGTACAGTGGTGTTCTCGGTCTGGACCCTCCAGGGTTTGGAGGCGTAGACAGCCTCTCCATTGATCTGCAGCCAGGCTCCGACCCCCCTGAGCCGCTCCTCAAACACTGCGGGGATCATCCCATCAGGTGTGGGACCCACATTCAGGAGGTAGTTCCCTCCCAGAGCCACAGTGCGAACCAGATCCTGGAACAAGAGAAGGATGACAAGTCAGGAAGAGACTCCTCACTGATCACAGTATTCTTCCTGTACACATATTTAATTAAGATGACTGAAAAATCAAGTGCTTTGCTTCATTTGGATCAGGATTCTCTTGAAAATGATTGCAAAATCAAGGCACACCTGATTGTAACATAGACCAGTGTTTCTCAAACTTTTTCATACCAAGGACCACTTAACCAATAAAAAAACACTCGCGGACCACCTAACTCCACAAATATAAAAAAACTCAGTTTTTCTAGAACAGATTACAAATCGCCTGAAAATGGTACAAACAAGTGGCAACATGTGTGATGAAGGTGTTGCGCTGGGCTATATCATGCAATTGAAACTTAACCTCGCTCCATTGCGGAGATATTCCCGCGAGAGTGCGGAAAACTTAAAATGTATTTATTTATTTCAAATGTGAAATGTTACCAATATACTCACGGACCACTAGGGGGCGCTCACGGACCACACTTTGAGAAGCACTAACATAGACAATTAAAGGTCAACGAATTGGCTGTTTGAAATAGCAACGTATTAGATTAGATTGATTACTGTTTTAATGTTAGCAATTAAAAGAAAACTTAAATTACAAAATGTCTCCGTGATGGCTGCACACGAGCAGAAATTACGTGTACAGGTATGTTCATGTATAAGATATACAAAAGCGGAACCAACCTATCTCTCATTACAGATTGGTTAATACAATGATGCTGTCATCACTTATCCTCACCTCTATAATGGAGGGTAAGTCCATCAGTTCGCTCATCTTCATGTTTCGGCGGTAGCCCCAGGAGAGCGTGTCCACAGATGTGCATTTCTCCCATTTGTGCTTGGGCAGCTGGCCCGGAGTGTATTTGTCTTCACAGTTGTAGTAGCCGCCATGTTTACAGGCACAGCCAGCGCCCCAGCGGTCATTCGTCACGATGGTATCCTAAGATGAAGAAAAGAAAATGCAACCCCAGTTAAACTATTAATAGTCGAATGTCTTGCTTAAAGAATACACTGACTATATACAGCATTTGCACACTTGTTCAACTAGAACTAGAGATGCACTGATTTCAATTTCAATTTGTATTATCTTTGAGCAGCCAATTGTGACTATACTTGACAGCATGCAAACATATTTGTATTACTTTTCTTTCTTGGAAAATTGAAATTCAATTATATGGTCATAATAATAAAAAAAAACTCAATAACTAACATACATTTCCTCCAATACTGCACCAAGTTTGAGTACCTTCTCTCACTCAAAGAGATGCACAATACTGTACAAAAAAAATCCCACTAAAAATGTATTACAGTACATAACACTTTCTCTAACATGGTTTATTTTCCCAGAGGAAAACAGAAGCAGAACAAATCTATAATAGATCAAAAAACGATGTAAATCTGACAACCGGTGGCCAATCAGTCGGTTAATCTCTAATTAAAACACTTACTTTGACTGGGCTGTCATTGTAGAGCCAGGCCAGGAATTCGGTGGAGTTCCAGTAGGTGTCAGGAGCGTCCCAGTCTCCATCGGACCAGATCAGATCAGGTCTGTACCTGCAGAACCACAGGAAGGTAAAAGGTATTAACATACTGCCATAAGATTATATTAAAACATGCTTTTATACAGTCACATGTCAATATAACCAAGTCTAACTTTATTATCATAACAAGGTAGAATAAACATGTTTGTATTGCAATCTGTTGATGGGGTAATTTAAGTGTTACACACCTTACAACCATGTTATAAAGCTCAGGTAGAAGTTTATGCATCACAAACTCCTGTGTTTTGAATCCATTCTTCTTGTCTGTCAGGTAGAGAGGGTTGAACCACTCATAAAGGGAGTTGTAGAGTCCATAGTGCAGTGACCTAAACAAGAAAATAAAACATCTTAGAATCCAAAAAAGGCAGGCATTAAAACTAAAGACAGCAAGGTATCTGAATGACATGACGATTGGGAAAGCCACAAATTCAACCCTATATTCAAATGGTGGTTGAACATTTCTCTGAAGAGAGGATGCACCACTTAACATTATTATCACGTACTCCATTTCCTTATTCGGAAATATGTGTACCTCACTGCATTAAACGCATTTTTCAGTAAGGTACCATAAGGAAGCCTTCTTCTTTTATATCAATCCTCAAACTTTACTTTAACTGGAAGGCTTTGTTTTGTTTTACACATGTACATCTACTTTGTATCCCTCTTTTATCACTTTTACCAAACGTATTTGTTTATTAAATAACAACAACAACAACAAATCCCAGGTCAAATGTTTCTGCTTTTCATTTGTTTTCATTGTTATCGTGACTTTGTGTAGACCATTTTATATTGTCCTGAAAACCACTTACTATTCAATAAACAAATGATGATTATCATATTCATTTCATCACAAAGTACCATGTATAACACTTTCTCTGTACTTTATAGCATTTGATGGCCCACCTGTTGCGCACCGCCTCCCCCAGGTCCCCCACCAGGTCCCTGTGAGGACCCGTATCCACTGAGTTCCAGTTCCAGGAGTTTGGAGACCCCCAGTTTGTAAATCCTTCATGGTGTTTGGCAGTCAGGACGACATATCTGCAAAAAAAGGTAACAAGGAACTGTTAAATCAGGTTTGAGGAGGGTTGGATTACATGTACGGGATTATGTAATAAGGATACAAAAAAAGGTGGTAACACTTTATTTTGATAGTCCATAGTTAACACTCTACAAGTCATCAGTTGACATTCAACAACACTGTTTCAACAGACAAGTAACATGCATGTAACTAACTGCCAGTAGAATATAAGGTACATCTCAAGTGTTGATCTATAGATTTTACAAAAAGTGTCTGACTGTCAACATGTTTTTTGCAACCGATATTCAACCTTACTATCTGTAGATTGTGAGTTCTTGTGAAAAACCTTTTGTTCTCAAGTGAATGCATTAGGCTTCTGTATTTATCTTATATATTAGTCAAATAAAACAGGAACAGGTGTTTCTAACTTAAACATTACATACATAATGCTTTATTCCCATGTCTGCTGCATATCATTAGTGGATGAATGTATGTGTTCTGTTGATAGGTTATAGACTTTCTACTGTTCTCAACTGTGTTTCACTTTAATTGGATAGTCCTAACACATGCCTACAAACGCTTAGTGGAGAATGCCTACTAAAAGTATACAGATAGTCAACTCTAGATTATTTGACGATCAACAGATAGTCAACTAAACTCTAAAGTTGCTCATCTGTTGATCATCAACTAATGCTTAATGTAATCTTTAGTTGACATCTTGACTCTCAACAGACTCAACAGATAGTCGACATGACCCTGTTGACTTTCAACTGACAGATTGATTTTGAGTAGTTGATTGTCAATTTTGAAGATGTTGACACAATATACAGATAGTAAGGTTGAATATTGGTTAATACGCTGTTGACATGCTACTAAATGTCAACTGATGACTTATAGAGTGTTAAATATGGACTATCAAAATAAAGTGTTACCAAAAAGGTTAACGTATTCCCTTTTAGTAACATAAAGAAAATATGTTACTGGATTTGGATTACTGAGGATTATGCTAAAATAAAATAAAATAATTATAGTATTGATTCAATCTTTTTGATACAAAATAACTAGTTTCTTCTTTTTTAAGGTTACATTGTTCTGTTATTGCACATCAAATACCTAAATAAGATTTTTTATAGATATGTCTTTCCTATTGCATTTGGAATTCAGATCATGCAAAAGTAACATTTGTTTTACATTACTTTCATATTGTGAAACGTAGATGAGGATACTGATTCAATGTTTTACATGTAATAAGTAATTGCCTCGGAATATATGTTTAAAGTAACCCTCGCAACCCTGTGTAATACACCAAATTAGGGACTTTTCGATGTAGCAGAATGCATGCTAGGACGTATTCGAAACCAGAAGTGATCTTATTTGTTATCAAATGCTCTGTAAAGCCAGCTCTATAAATACACTCACTTTGCACCAGACGCCTTGAATATGTCCGCCCAGTCCCCCGGGTTGAAGAACTGAGCGTGAAACTGGGGGGCAAACTCCGGGTAGCTGAATCCAGGTGGGTAGTTTTTGGACATGTAGCTCACACACTTCTGGTCCGGAGGTTGTTGGCCCTGCCAGTACCACCAGAACCACTCACTGCCGAACCCGGGCACAGAAAACACCCCCCAGTGGACAAATATCCCCACCTTCGCCTGGTCGTACCATGGAGGCAGCGGCCGGGCGTCCAGGCTGGCCCAGTCCGCGGTGTACCGAGCCGCCGTGTGAGGCACCAGAACACCGAGGAGGAACCACAGAGCGAGCATGGTTTTAAAGTGTTAGAGTTAGAGTTCACTCCCCTGAATGTGAGTGAACATTAATGCTACTGGGAAGCTAATTTTAAACTGTTTAAAAGCAGAAAATGCGAAATAGTTTCACTTCCTGCAGTTGCACTATTATTGTTGTGACCCTGCAAGTGCGATGTGTCCCGTCACATGACTGAAATCACATGAGTGTCACGTGATTACACAGTCTATTTTTTTTTTATGATAACTTTATTTAACACATGAACTTTGCATGATGCAAGTATGCATGTATTATTTATTTATATGTATTATCATCTTGTTCACACATGTGGCATTATTGTAGGCACGTGTTACATATGTATTTACATTTAATGCAAATTTAAGCAAAGGGCAGATTTCATAAATAACTAGATTTCGAGCCAAATTTAGCTCAGGCCTAAATCATTTTAAGTTTACAAGCTTAAGTTACTGTTTTAAACAAATATGTTTTACTGTACATAAAACATTGATTGCAATGTGGTCCCATGACTTAACTGAAATCACATGAGTATTGCTCAGTCAACTTTATTCAACACATCAACATAGGGATAGATTTGTCCTTGTTTTATTTATTTATATGTATGATTATCTTGTTTACACATTTTGCATTATTGTGTTATTTATGTTTTTTACATCAAATGCAAATGTAAAGAAAGGCCATGAATAAAAACTATTACATCTTGTAACAAAAAAGGGCATAGAAAAAAGCTCAAAGTAACACCCAAACACACACATATAGTTTACACGTCATCATTTATCTTTGTTTATAGATTTCTATACACAACACATTTATGTAAACTCAGTACAAGTAGGAGTGACCTTTCTACATTGTTTAAGGACATTTTCATATGGAGAAGCCCAGCTTTACCCTTACAGTAGACACCTGAGGAAGTCAATGATTCATTCAAAGTGATTGACGAATCAAACAGGAAGAAACACAATTTAAAAAGCAAGAAACCTGCAAGTACATTACCTTTCAATAAGCCAACCCTTTTTAAGTGATCCTGAATTGGCTTCGAATGAGCCAAATCTTTCTAAGTGCTACGTACAGAAGTAAGAATTTATTTATTTTTTATTGTTAGTAGCCTAACATTTGTTTTACATTACTTTCATATTGTGAAACGTAGATGAGGATACTGATTCAATGTTTTACATGTAATAAGTAATTGCCTCGGAATATATGTTTAAAGTAACCCTCGCAACCCTGTGTAATACACCAAATTAGGGACTTTTCGATGTAGCAGAATGCATGCTAGGACGTATTCGAAACCGGAAGTGATCTTATTTGTTATCAAATGCTCTGTAAAGCCAGCTCAATAAATACACTCACTTTGCACCAGACGCCTTGAATATGTCCGCCCAGTCCCCCGGGTTGAAGAACTGAGCGTGAAACTGGGGGGCAAACTCCGGGTAGCTGAATCCAGGGGGGTAGTTTTTGGACATGTAGCTTACACACTTCTGGTCCGGAGGTTGTTGGCCCTGCCAGTGCCACCAGAACCACTCACTGCCGAACCCGGGCACAGAAAACACCCCCCAGTGGACAAATATCCCCACCTTCGCCTGGTCGTACCATGGAGGCAGCGGCCGGGCGTCCAGGCTGGCCCAGTCCGCGGTGTACCGAGCCGCCGTGTGAGGCACCAGAACACCGAGGAGGAACCACAGAGCGAGCATGGTTTTAAAGTGTTAGAGTTAACTCCCCTGAATGTGAGTGAACATTAATGCTACTGGGAAGCTAATTTTAAACTGTTTAAAAGCAGAAAATGCGAAATAGTTTCACTTCCTGCAGTTGCACTATTATTGTTGTGACCCTGCAAGTGCGATGTGTCCCGTCACATGACTGAAATCACATGAGTGTCACGTGATTACACAGTCTATTTTTTTTTTATGATAACTTTATTTAACACATGAACTTTGCATGATGCATGTATTATTTATGTATATGTATTATCATCTTGTTCACACATGTGGCATTATTGTAGGCACGTGTTACATATTTATTTACATTTAATGCAAATTTAAGCAAAGGGCAGATTTCATAAATAACTAGATTTCGAGCCAAATTTAGCTCAGGCCTAAATCATTTTAAGTTTACAAGCTTAAGTTACTGTTTTAAACAAATATGTTTTACTGTACATAAAACATTGATTGCAATGTGGTCCCATGACTTAACTGAAATCACATGAGTATTGCTCAGTCAACTGTATTCAACACATCAACATAGGGATAGATTTGTCCTTGTTTTATTTATGTATATGTATGATTATCTTGTTTACACATTTTGCATTATTGTGTTATTTATGTTTTTTACATCAAATGCAAATGTAAGGAAAGGCCATGAATAAAAACTATTACATCTTGTAACAAAAAAGGGCATAGAAAAAAGCTCAAAGTAACACCCAAACACACACATATAGTTTACACGTCATCATTTATCTTTGTTTATAGATTTCTATACAAAACACATGTATTTAAACTCAGTACAAGTAGGAGTGACCTTTCTACATTGTTTAAGGACATTTTCATATGGAGAAGCCCAGCTTTACCCTTACAGTAGATACCTGAGGAAGTCAATGATTCATTCAAAGTGATTGACGAATCAAACAGGAAGAAACACAATTTAAAAAGCAAGAAACCTGCAAGTACATTACCTTTCAATAAGCCAACCCTTTTTAAGTGCTCCTGAATTGGCTTCGAATGAGCCAAATCTTTCTAAGTGCTACGTACAGAAGTAAGAATTTATGTATTTTGTATTGGCGAAGGTGCAGTCCCTTCTTGACCTAATGACTTGATATTGATTATCCACAACTCTGACGTTAGACTACTCCCTCCAGTTTCAGACACCAGGCATTTCCAAGAGATTTTGGCATCGCAGGCATAAAAATCCTGAGTCCAGCTGTTGGTGTGAGTGGTTCCCACTTCAGTAGTACATCAGGATAGTCCATGAGTGTAACCTGTGGATATAAACGAGAATAATGTAGATTTATTCAGTATGACAATTGAGTTTAACTGGAATTAAGCGTTTAAGGCATACGGTGTACAGCTTACATTTGTGGCTCCAGTCATCCTCGGTGCTGTGAGCTGAAGAATCTGTTTGGACGGCCAATGAAGGATAATGGCATGAACCGTATTGTTTTTGGCCGTGTACCTATAATAGGACCAAGAAGTCTTATGTTACATCAAAGATTATATCACATTTACTTTTTTGTCCAGACCAAGTGGAAATGTGTCTTTGGCTTCTACAACACAGTTTGAAAACATAGCAATATACATAATACAAAAGTGCAAATGGTCATGTAGCAGTGGAAATAATAAAGAGAGAACATTTTATAGATGCCTATATTTCAAGTGACAATGGCCTCACATAGAGACAGAAGATGGAGTGAAAAAACACAAAGTCACAATCTCACCACACAGTGCTGTTTTCCATCTGGACCCTCCATGGTTTGGTAGCATAGATGGCCTCTCCATTTATCCCCAACCAGGCACCAAGATCCCTCAGCCTCTCCTCAAACACCGGGGCAATCATGCCATCTGCCATTGGCCCGATATTCAGCAGGTAGTTACCTCCCATTGCCACCACGTAGACCAAGTCCTAAGAAATGAGCGAGTTCAATTAACCAAATAACTTTTCTTCCATCATTTGTAGGTGATGTCCTACTATGAACTCTCACCTTTACGATTGACGGCAGGTTCATGACTTCGCTCAGCTTCATGTCTCTTCTGTAGCCCCAGGATCGGGTGTCGAGGGACTGGCATTTCTCCCATTTGTGGTCTGGAAGTTTACCAGGTGTGTACCTATCAGCACAGTTGTAGTAGCCTCCATGTTTGCAGTAGCAGCCCTTACCCCACCTGTCATTGGTAACCACCACATCCTAAAGAAACACACGGGTTGTTACGTACAGATGAAGACTGCAAATAAGCATGATAAATTAAATACGCTCTGGTGAAACCTGTGGTTTTCTTTCACCTTGACTGGACTGTCGTTGTAGAGCCAGGCCAGGAACTGGGTGGAGTTCCAGTAGGTATCTGGTGCTTCCCAGTCCCCATCAGACCAGATCAGATCGGGTTTGTACGTCGTTACAAGGTCCACAAGCTCTGGAAGAGTTTTACTGGCAACAAACTTCTGAGACTGGAATCCGGAGGCTTTGTCCAACAAGTAAAGGGGATTGTACCATTCATACATAGAGTGGTAGAGGCCCAAGTGCAGTGACCTGTATGTAGAAAAATACAAGTGAATTCACAAAGTAGTTTAGCACCGTCATTCGTAGTCAACTATTTCCTTTCTGACTCATATTAGATAATTCATGCTTATATTAGAAGTTGTTTTGTTTTTATTTACATCCCATTACTGTTTGCTTTCTGTAGATGTCCCTCACCCCTGAAAGATTTACCGTAAATCATTATTGACGCTGTATTTGATTGTGAACTACTTTAATACCCTTTCTTTATACACGCTTTAGATGCAGCATCCTGCTCCTTATCTTCTCACCTTTTCCTGACAGCCGCAGCCAGGTCTCCCACCAGGTCCCGGTGAGGACCCACATCCATTGAGTTCCAGTTCCAGGAGACTGCTGAGGGCCAGTTTGTGAATCCTTCATGGTGTTTGGATGTGAACACAACATACCTGTAGAGACACACACTTAAATTCCCTTACAAATATCAGGAACAAGGAAATGAGAAGTTATAATAACAGAACATAAGACCCCAAAAAGTGAATCAGATTACTCTAAAGCATTTTGTTAAAATAAAGTAAACTGGACATTGACACACTTTGGAAAAAATTGGTTTAAATTACAACAACAAATCTAGTTAATGAGTTTCACAATATTAAAAAAGGACCAATTCAACCCGTGTGCAATGAAATGGATCAGGGACCTATACTTGTCTTTTTATATGACATAGTGCCACTAACTGCAGGCAAGCCTATACATGACACCTGCAGGTGTAGCTGTATAAACAGAGACTTTGCTTTAGTCCTTATCCAAATCACATTTGTATGGCACAACGAATAGATCTCATGACTGTACCTGGCTCCAGAGGCTTTGAATATGTCTGCCCAGATTTCCGGATCAAAGAATTCTGCACGAAACTCAGGCGCAAAGTCGGTATATTTAAAACCAGGCGGGTAGTTTTTCTTCATGAACTCCACTAGTTCTGGCTGCTTTTCTGAGTGCCACCGCTGCCAGAACCACTCACTGAACTGCCCGAAGCCAGGGACCGAGAAGACCCCCCAGTGGACGAAAATCCCGAACTTTGCTTCATCGAACCACCTGGGCAGGGGTCTGGCATCCAGGCTGCCCCAGTTTGCTTCATAGCGCGCTGTGCATCCAGGTATCCACATGAGAAAAGTTACGCACATAAAAAGGAGTATGCATGTAGGACGCATTTTGAGGAGTTCTTGTTAACCTGTAGAGCTACACCTGACTACGAAAAAGTAGTTAGGCTTGTTTGAGACGAGCTGCGGCTCGCCTCGAAAGTAGACGATAATAGCCAATCGCAGACGGGGAGGTTTCAAAAAGCTCGCCTGAAGTCTGACCAGTCGGACTCAGTTTCTGCTGCTTCTTCTTCTTCCGGCTTTTTGGCGGATTAAAATATGAAAACGGTAAGCAGTGCAAGTATAGTATAAAATATATAGATATTAATTTCATGATGATAAACATTGTGGAACAATGATGAAAAATGTGAATGGAAGTGGCGACGTAAAACTGACACAAAACAACAACAAACTTTTGCCGAGCCAATTGGAGAGTTTCATCTCCAGCACGGGGTAAAAACCACCAATGACCAATGAAAAAACTAATGAAAAAGTGTTGTACTTGTAAAAAAAAGTGTTGTACTTGTAAAAAAAGTTGTGTAGGCCTACTTGTAAAACCTATGCTGAATTTGTCTCTGAAACATGATTAATTAGAAAAATATTATGTGTTTGATAGATACGTTTTTTCTTTGCAAAACTAAATGCATTAGTTAGTAGATGGTGTTATGTATTTTCAAACCACATTGTGTTTGTTAGTGAATCATGAGGCATTTGTAAAACCTGTTTAGTTTGTTTGTGGAGTTATGGCAGGAGATTAGCTCCATACATTTCACTTCCGAATCCGCAGCCCGTGGAGAGAAACTGCGCCTGTTTTTATCATTTGCATTACACCTGAATGCTGTTGTGGGAAGGACAGAACTGTCAGTGTATCCGCCCTCTGGTGGTGCTGTACAACATCCTACTTAAACATGACTCAATACTGTTATGCAAATTGTGCAATTACCTTAAATAATGCATTAACCGTTCAATTGAAATCTTTATACATTTTAGAGAAGTCCGTTTTCTTTATTAATGCAAAAACGCCTTTGATTTCAATGACCAATTTCAAGGATTTCTGAATACTTTATACTTTTCAACCACTAGATGACACCAAATGGCAACTTTGTGCCAATTTTGCAGCAGGGAAATGTTCATAAAGCCAATGACAAGATAACGAAATATTTACGCATAGAAAAGCTAATGAAAAGGGACCAAATGTATCCACATGGCCCCGATATAATCACAACTCAAACTTATTTTCATGACCTGCAATCTCACTACAGAAGAAATAAATAAGGCCATATTAAATTCATACTGTAACATCTACAGTATGGTCACAGTCGAGCAGTTAAAGGAATGTTTTTTTCTCCCGGTGCAGTGGGCTACAGATTCACTGTGTCACCTACACCAGTGCAGACAGCCAGCTGCCTTTCAAGAATCTGTTTCTCCACCAAGTCCTCCACTCTGCCAACCTCCACCTCATCTACGTCGTCCATAAAACTGGACCAATCTGGACCCCCGTCTGCACGCTCCATGGGCTCTGATTGGCCGGGGTGAGCAGAGTCATCGTGTGTGGTGGTCACACAGTTGCAGCTGTCACAGAGGCCGAAGCGCCGGAGCCCAGAAGAAACACTCGATCCAGTGAAGGTTCGCCTGCAGCTCTTACAGGACACTGGCCAGTAGTGTCTGTGGACCTGTTGATGGTCAGCACAATGAGATACATCATTATATAAGCAACCCCAATTTATAGATTATAGGTGAAGAACATCAACAAAAGGGACAAAAATATTTACTGTCCTCGTTATGCTTTCTTCTCTGCACACAGGTAGCAGGGAACGAGACAGATTTCAACAGCACTAACAACAAAATTAAGAGTGAGCTAATTACTGCATATAAATAACTGTCAGCAATTACTGGCTTTGAGAGGGTTTTTAACGTCAATTAAATTCTATCAACTACAACCGAGACAAAATAAAACAATCAATCTACAACGAGAGGACATATATTTGCAACCATCCCATTTCTAAATTGATTAAAAAGAAAATTCATGTAACCACTGACTCTGCTAAAATAATAATAACTCAATTTTTCAAACTAATTTCAATGTGTCGGTGTCATTTCTGAAAGCTGCAAAAAGACTAGAGAAAAGAGCTTACTACTTAACAGAAAGTTGATGACTGAATGGCATTTAGTAGTTGTATAATTCCTACTACCTCATCAAGAAGTCTACATATCAAAAGCAGGTTAAGTGTCCCAACACATTCAAATCATATTGATTTGTATCTTGCAGTCACACTGAGTTCTTACACTGAGGGCATGGCTGCGAAGGTGCTCCTGTCTTGTGAACCTCTTGCCACACATGGGACAGGGGAAGGGTCTCTCTCCTGTGTGGCAGCGGATGTGTCTCTTCATGATTCCTTTCTGCTTGGCAGTGTACGGACAGAATGGGCACTTGTGGAGTTTGACTGGCACTACCAAACCATCACCTGCAGGGAGAGCAAGAGGGCAACAGGTCAGATTAACCTCAGTAGGACAGCACTGCAAATTGTGTATCCTTACATATGGATTGTTACATGTTTCTGTTACGTCAGTGTAATTAACAGTATGTAAAAAATGAGGTTCGCAACCCAATCTCTACCATTCGCACCAGTTTAGATTGATCTTACCTGTGTCCTCTCCAAGCCAATCAGACTGGATCTCCATGATAGATGACCCCACAAACCCTAAACTTTCGTCCATTCTGCATCCTCCAGTGCTGCTACCCATTCCTTGGGTAAAACGCTTCCCCCCTCTCTCCCGCTGAGGACTTTGGCCTTCCCCTCTGGCCAGCATCTCCATGAGCTGCCTGGCATTATAGGAGGGGCTGTATCCTGAAGGGGAGCGTTCATTGGAGGGAGAGGCAGGAAGTAGTCTGCTATTATGAGGGTTATGGAGAGAGTGCCCGGGATATGACGACAGGTCTTTGGAGTCAGGGGACTCCATAAGATCCTCATCGGGGTCGTACTCTATCTTAGGGTTCACTAACTCAGGGGTCAAAGCAGATGATGAAGAAGATGAGAGGTTAGACTGATCCATTTGTCTTTTCTGTCCTTCATTAACAGGTGCAAATTCTTCCCTAGAGTGGTAGTCCATGTCTCTGTTGGGGCCAGGAGTTGTGTTGACAGGGATAGACAAGGGGGTTCTAGCTGAGGTCCCAGACTCTGTTCCTCTATCCGAATCTGCAGCCTGAGAATGAGGCTCCCCAGTCCTTGCTCCACTGGAGGTGGTCGCAGCAGGAGTGCCGCTGTCTACAGGACCCGGCCCCCCATCCTGGGTCTGCTTCTCCTTCTCTGCGCTGCTCTCCTTCTCCTTGTTGCATATTTCCAAAGATGAGCGGATGTAGCCCTTACAGAAGTTGACCAGATCGGTCATCTGCAGGTAGCTGCCGGCTGACATCACCTCAATCACATTGCTTCTGTTCAGGGCCAAGCGGCCAGAGTAGAGGAAGTCCAGGATGATAGAGAAGGCATCGGCTGTCACAATGTCCAACGATGCTGTGCTGCAGCGCTGTCCACTATCCTGAAAAGAGATGTATTGAAAAGTTTAAGACAGTATTTCTTTAATTACTTGACAATACACATGTTGCTGTTGAACTAGACTTTGAGCCAGGTTTCCTGTTAGACACAGTTTTATGATTTAGAAAGAGAAGCCGTGCAATTATTTTGGCTAGATTTATTTAACAGATGTCATTTCAGATTAAAGTGTATTTATACTGGATGGCCCATTTTGATAAGATCAGCAATGTATGGGACACAACAACTATGGGGAATCAGTTGTCACATTAACATACAAGACCCTAAACCACATTACATTTGTTTCTAAAAAAAGACATGCCAAAACTCTCACTGTTTCCTTGAAATTAAATCATTGGTAAGCACTGATACAATCCAGTCATACCTGCAGATAGTGAACCAGAAGAGCCCGGAAATAGCCGCTTCCAGCAAACAACACATTGCGATGAGCTTTGAAGACGCGGCCTTCAACAAGGATGCTGCAGTCACAGAAGAAATCCCTCTTACGCTGCTCATTGAGCTCGAACAGCAGTTTGGGCATGTAGCAGGGCACCTCCATGTCTCACCTCAATGAGCCCTGCTAGGGAGAGGGGAGAGATGGGGAATCATTTAAGGGTGTGTCACTTTAAAAAGAGGAAACAACAAAAGGCAAAATTGAGTTTTTGGTTTTTTAACATTAGAATATAAACTAATTTCATTTGTATTATCTTTTGGAATAATTGACCAGAAATGTCATGTTTATTTCTTCATTCTGTTAGATAATACACATATGTTAATTGTACAGTACTGACTCAAAATGGGTTAAATGGAAAGGGGGAAACATTCACCAATGAGTTCACTTGATGCTAAAACGCATTGTTTACACATGTTCACTTACCTACGTGTTACACCCCATATAAAACAAAGCCTGCACATACCCACGTTTGAAATAGGAAATACAAAGAGAACATTCAAGTAGCTCTATACTTTTGTTTGCTTATAAGCTATCTTGTGATGCTAGCACAGACTAGCCAGTTGTTGATACTTTATACTAAAATGAAGGACTTTCAACACCGATTGAAGCATGAAAACACACAGTGGAATACACATATATAACATAACGCTCTCACCTTTGTAATTACGCGACCGAAGTTTCAAAAACCTTTATAATAACACTGAAATATTGATTAGCAAGGTATAGCATCGTTCATTGTCCTGTCCATAGGAACTTCCGGTTTCAAGAGTCGGTGACGTTTCACATTCAACCAATCAGTGGCCGAGGGAGGCGCGGCCCATTCAGCCCGTTTGTAAGATTACTTTTTATATCGTCCTTTTTTCTCTTTCTCTCTCTCTATTCTCTATTTTATACACCAACAAACACTGCAATCAAAAGGTTTCACGTCTGTTTCAGGAAAGTAAATATAAATATATATATACTTTATTCTTCATACAATATATAAACAATTTAAAATGTATCACTAGTTGACGATGTGATAAAATGAAAAGCCACAAATGTAACACAACATTTTTTACAGTTTTATGTTTGAGTAAATGGATCAACATATATATATATATATCCTTTATTTAACCATGCATGGTAAAATAACTCATTGAGACTAAAATCTCTTTTCCAAAAGTGACCTGGCCAAGAAGGGCAGCATGAACAAAGTTACAGATAAAACACAAACAATACAGGCAGACAAATACAGCTGTAAAACACAAATAAAATGGCACATTAGCCCGTCAATATGCAAAATAAAAGAAACTATTAAAAATCATAAAA